AGCACCAGTACCTCCAGTACCTCCTGTACCCAGAGGACACTCAGCACCCCCAGAACCAGCACCCCCAGTGGTACCACCTCCTCCAGCACCAGAGTCCACAGCGACAGGCTGCAGCGGCGGTGAAGACGGTCGAGGCAGAAACCCAGGAGGGATAGCCAAGCGTGCAGAGCGGCGAGGGGTCACTGTGGCAGCAGGAGTCGGGTCACCCCCCTCAGCTGGGCCAGAGGTGTCTGAGGAGACCTCCAAAGGCTCAACCAAGGGGGGTGGGTCTTCCTGAGACACACCTGAGGGAGCGGGACCGTGAGGAGGGAGGGGGGCTACCGAAGGGGGGTCGTCCACCAGGGTGAGAGGCGGGAGGGGTACCGGGGAACTGTGGTGGGGGTGAAGACGGTAGAAGCAGACAGACTCGTCAAAGGTGACGTCGCGGGAGGACAGCACACGACGAGAGCCCAGGTGGTAAAACTGCCAGGGCGGTGCGTCGGTGGGAAAGCCAAGGAACACGCACCGAAGAGTGCGTGGAGAGAGCTTGCCCGCAGGCAAGTCGCGGACAAGAGAGAGGGAACCCCAGACCCGAAACGCCGACGCATCACCAACCTTGCCCGTCCACCTCAAGGTGGGGGAGGTCTCCGGGTGGGAGACACGGGGCCAGAGGTTGAGCTGCTCAGCGGCGTATCGGACCGCAAACGGCCATAGAAAATGGGGAGAAGCCGCATGGATCATGGAGGTGCGAGCAACATCCATGACAAGACCAATGCGGCGCTCAGCAATCCCATTCTGCTGAGGAGAGGCCGGAAGCGTGTACGACTGAGTGCAGCCGCAGGACAGGCAGGTCCTGCTGGAACCGGGCACGAAGCTGGAGACGAACAGCGCGGATCCAGCGGATCAAGACACCGCGAACATCCGCCCTGCTCTGCAAGGGGAAGACCGTGGTGTAGCGTGTGTAGTCGTCGACAACCAGCAAAAAAGTAGCGCTCGCCACCCTGTCCAGTGACGCGGGCGGGGCCCCACACGTCCATGTGCAGGGTCTGCAGAGGAGCAGTGGTAGGAGGAAACGAGGAGGAGTGAGGAGCGGCGCGCTGCCGCCCCTCGACGCAGGGAACGCAGGGCGGTGCAAGCGACCTCGGGAGCGGGGGCAGGGACCTGGGGAGACCAGACACAAGAAGACGGGAGTGCATGCCACGCAGGCGTGGCAAGGAGGGTTGGCCAAGACGGTAGTGCCAGAGGAGAGTCTGGTGTGTGAGGAGACGACACGAACAAGACCAGGCGACCTCAACCGACGCAGCTACATGACCTGACTCAGCTACCAGTGTAGACTCAGTGGTTAGTGTGTACAGGCCAGACCCAGGCCTCCGAGTGAACGTGGCGAGGTGCTCACCAGTGCGCGAGTCCGTACAGATTGCCACTAGCTCGCCTCCAGGCTGGGTGACAGTGACCCACTGGTCCTGGAGGACAGAGGTAGCCACCAAGTTCTTAGCGAACGAGGAGAGGTGGAGACCTGTGAGGAGGCTCGAAGGGGCCGCCGGACAAGGGAGAACAGTGGCGCCACGCGCGACTACCGGGCCCCCAGAGGGGTCGGCCAGTGTGACAGGGACAGGGACTGTGAGCGATGTGATTGTGGTACTATCGCGGAAGAAGCAACGAGACGCGCCGGAGTCGAGAGTAAAAGTGTGCAAGGCCTCCTCAGACTCTACACCTGTGCTAGCTGAGTCAACAGCACCAAGACTAGCAGCCTCTACGCCACCAGGTGCCTCTCCACCCCCAGCACTAGTACCCCAAGCTCCGCCACCGGGGCTGCCCCACCGGACAGCCCACTCACGAAGCTGCTGCGGGGAGAGAGTCTCCGGCGAACGCTGCTGCCGCTGCTGTCCACCCCCAGAACCTCCGCGTCTACCAGCGGCACTACCAGCAGGAGTAGACTCACAGGGACCTCGAGTAGTAGCACACCAGGCTCCGCCACCGGGGCTGCCCCACCGGACAGCCCTCTTGCGAAGCTGCTGCGACGAGAGCGGCTCTCGCCGACGAGTACGAGGACCGCCAGCACCACCACCTCCAGCCCTAGCACGGCTAGCTCCGCCACCGGGGCTGCCCCACCAGATAGCCCACTCGCGAAGTTGCTGCGGCGAGAGAGACTCCTGCACACTCGGCTGCCGCTGACGTAGGACAGTGGTAGTGGCCATAGCATGCAGTGGCAGCTAGTAGCAGCAGCTGCGTAGCAGCAGTAGCACAGGCGGCAGTAGCAGGCGGTAGCACCTAGGGCAGTAGCAAGCAGTAGCTCCTAGGGCAGCAGCACCTAGGGCTTTTTTGTTGTTGTTGTTGTTGTTTTTTTTTTTTTTTTTTTTTTTTTTTAGGGTTTAGCAGGGCGCGCTGGGTGCTGGGCAGCAGGGCGCGCTAGCGCGCTGGGCAGCGGGGCGCGCTGGCGCGCTGGCGCGCTGGGCAGCGGGGCGCGCTGGCGCGTCGGGCAGCGGGGCGCGCTGGCGCGTCGGGCAGCGGGGCGCGCTGGCTCGCTGGGCAGCGGGGCGCGCTGGCGCGCTGGGCAGCGGGGCGCGCTGGCGCGCTGGGCAGCGTGGCGCGCTGGCGCGCTGGGCAGCGGGGCGCGCTGAGGCGCTGGGCAGCAGGGCGCGCTGGCGCGTCGGGCAGCGGGGCGCGTTGGCGCGCTGGGCAGCGGGGCGCGCTGGCGTGCTGGGCAGCAGGGCGCGCTGGCGCTGTGGATAGCAGGGTGCGCGTGCAGGGTGCGCGGGCAGGCAGGGCGGCGCAGCTGCAGGCAGAGCGCGCGCGAACAGGGCGGCGCTCAGGCAGGGCAGCAGAGCGCTCAGTAGCAGGGCAGCTGGGCGCGCGCGGGCAGGGCAGTAAGGCGCGCGCTGGCGCTAGGCAGCAGGGCAGAAAAAAAAAAGTTTCAAGTCCGGGCAGGGCGGAACGTTCGGTGGGCCCTAAGGAACGTACCTACTCTAATACCATGTTAGAATCAGAAAACAGTAATGGTTGACTAAAGCAGGATGAATGGTACAAGTAGCAACCCTAACAAAGGGTTGTACCCCATAGAGAGTAACCCACTACAGCATAACATCACTAACATGATATAAACATGTTTTGACAAGCGCAGCAGAAGAGCGGCTTGCCAACGCTGCAGCTGGGTAGTCTGCCAGCGTTGCCCTGCGCGCGGTCTGCCAGCGCTGCAGTCGCAGGTTGTCTATCTGCGCAGATGTGCGCACCTACCAAGTAGGTGCAGGTTGACGGTTTCACCGTCAGGCACATTGCGCTGGTGCCGGGTAGAAAACGTGTCGTCCGTTTCGCCAGGTGCGCACCGTCGACCACGTGCTGCCGTTCCGCAGGTCGAACTTCGCCAAAACCTCCTGGGCGAGGTTTTGCACACCTCCGCACAGTTTCGCACACCTCTGCGAGTTCGGTCGAACAGCTCGACCCTAACTTCGGTCGAACAACTCCACCCCGCTCGGTCGAACAGCGTTCGCCGAGCAGAGCTCGTCGACCAGAGTTCGTCGCGCAGAGTTCTTCAACCAGAATCGTCGACCAGCGCTCCTCGACGGGGCTCTTCGACCACAGCTCGAACGGAGCTCTTCGACGCAAGCTCGAACGGAGCTTCGTCGACCAGCGCTCCTCGACGGACCTCGTCGACCATCGCTCCTCGACGGGCATCATCGACCGCTGTCTTCGACCAGCGCTGCCCGTCGACGATGTCGACCAAATTCCGTCGGGCAGAGCCTGCTCGACCGCTACCTCCGTCGAACCGCAGAAGCCCACTCGACGACCACTCCGTCAAGAACTTCTCGTCGACGGCGAGATCGGCTGCGCCCAAGCGAGGGCGGGGCTTTTCTCTTCGACAATGCGCCCGTCCTGTTTCAGTATTCTTCTCACATCCTTGGCCTATGAGCATATCATGTTTCAGACTTGTAAAACTGGATACAACACACAGATACAAGATACCGAGTAAGAAAAGCACCTTACGTCGTACGTGTCACGAGTTGCGTTAAGAGTGCGTAAAGCAGCAGTTGTGGCACAACGTTCGTCCTGCCCTGGACAGGACATGTACACCCTATTCTCGATAATTTCACACCCTTTAAGCGCACACCCTAAGGTAAATACTCTCGGTTAAGCGTTTAAGTTGGGTAGCAAGCAATGATTGTAGACTATCGGAGGAGGGGATCTCGCAACCTTCTCGCGAATGGAAGAAAAGAAACCGGAGTTCCAAGGGCAGCCATCCACCCCTACTACTCACTTGGAAAATTAAGTGCGAGACTCTATAACTACCCTCGTCAATCTTTGGGTGTCCGTCGCATCGAGCCAGAAAACGTACTGGGTACCTTCGAAATAGGGGGTAGGGGGTGTGCAATTATCGAGAATAGGGTGTACTGCAAGCCACCTTGAAATGTACGGAGAAATGAGAAATTGGTCCACTTCCGCTATGGATTTCGCGAAACCAAACATATATTGTACTGCACAGGTGCAGACGTGCCATGCGCTTACGAATATGCAACACAAAAATCTCACCCAAGCCAACCATTCGGGTTTCGTGAACAAAGCAAACTCGTTTGAACGACTCGACTGGACTGTGAATGTTGTGATAAATTTAGCGCTGCGCACCGGGACCGCGTCGCAACTATAACTTATTCACCTCGATCGAATTGTGCGGTTCGATTTCGCATTTCTCTTCAGCGCAAGCACAGCACACGTCCCTCTTCCACCCATTCCTCTCCCACACAATGCACGTAACTGAAGCATCCAGCAATAACTTGTCCCTCAGGTGGTCCAGCAAACACAACACCAACCAAATATACGCCACCAGAATTACCTGTATCACCACCGACCAGCGGTCACCTTACCGTACCAGCGGCACGATCTGAGATCCATCTGGCCTCTGCTTGCTGCCAAATGCTCGTATAAAAGAGAGAACTGAAAGCTATCGAGCATCAGTTTTCCTCCGGCCCCAAGTCATTTACTAGTTTGTTATCCCTCAAGACATCCTTCTGCTACTAGCATCTGCAGCCATGAGGCGTTCCAAGCTTTTCTTCGTCCTGCTCGCGCTCTCCCTGCTCGTATCTCTCGCGCTGGCGCCTTCGTGCCGCGCAAATGAGATCGACGCGGAAGACAACGCCGACAATGACGTCGAGGGCGCCGCCATTTCCGCCGACGCGGCTTCCCCTCCTGGTGAGTTCAGTTTCTTCTCTCTCACTCTCAATTGACCTATTGTAACATCATGCGCTCTGCCATGCGTTGCTGCGCTACAGTCTGTAGTAATGATTTCATGTATCTAATGAATTCAATCGTTTCTTACTTTTCCCTACCTTCCCTTCCCCTGTTTCAGGTCTTGTAGGCAAGCTGTTGGGCGCGAGCAGGCGGTTCCTGTGGTCGCCCCGCATGCTGTCATGCAAGTCGGACTGTGAGGAGAAGAACAAGAAGTGCAACACTGATTACAGCAAGTGCAAGCGCGAGAACAGGGACGACGAGCACGATCACAAGAAGTGCACGCACAAGTACGAGAAGTGCAAGAAGAAGATCAAGAAGTGCCGCTCCAAGTGCGACTAGAGCAGAAGACTTTTGAGGCGCCTCAAAAGATCAACAAGTGCCGCTCCAAGTGCGACTAGAGCAGAATTCAAAATGGCAAGGACATTCGCAAGATGGCTGGGAGAGGTGCTGTGCTAAATTCCGTTAGAAGTAGTGTCTGCAATGCATGTTCTGGAGATAAACTGATAGGCACTCGGGTGAGGTAGGTATTGATCTGTAGTTGGCAAACCACCTCACATCAATGAAGGACTTAGTGCCATATTGGTCTTTATTCGGCATGGGACATACTCCACAGCCAACCTCAGCCACTCGACCAGCCCTGCAACCCTGCTACCCATTCCACCAGCGGCCTGCACCATCTGTGGAGCAGCATATGCTAGAATGGGTAGGCCGGTTGCACCAACAAGGCTGCTGTGCCTCCCAAGCTAGAAGCACCCTGCCACGCTCCAAACAATCTACGACACACTACAAGCAATCAACACCCTACAGATCATCATCCCAGTATCGTGCCATACCGCCATCACCACCAGCCCCTGCTGATGCACCTGCTTCGCTAAATGACTCTGCACCCATACCACCCTTAGGAGCAGAAGCACCGAGAGACCCGCTGTGTCCATACCCTTGCCCATTCAACCCATCCCAACCTCTCTCCTGCTCCCTGGCCTCCCACTGCCATACCCAACCTGCTGCCATCATCCAAACCTCGCTAAAGAGTGCTCCGATAAAGCGAAAAACGTCTGCCCAGGTGACAAAGGGCAGTGTCCCAGCAGCCACAGGGAGGAGGAGGAGCAGGGTGAGGTGGAAGAGGAGGCGTCTTACCCACGGGGGAGGGGGAGGGGGGATGATAAGAGAGAGGAGAGGGAGGAGGTGAGAACGGGCCCTCTTGCTGCAGATGAGGACAAAGGCTCGTGGGTTGGTGAACAGTAGCTGGATGGAGGTGAAGCAGGACGTGAGGAGGGTGATAACGAGGCGTGCCCATAACGAGAGTGATTGTAACGAGATGGTGGAGTAGAGTGCCGAGGTTGTACGTGTGGAATCGGATGCTCCTGCTTCTGAGATGCCTGATGGTCGCCGAGACTCTGAAGTCGATGATGCTGATGGTGATGACGAGGAAACAGATACAGACGACGATCGCCGCCCAGATGGCGATGAGGAGGAGCGCCTTGCAGATGACGGCGATGAGTACGGCTCGCTCTCTGCTGAATTGCACACGGAAGAAGAAGACGAGCGCCGTGACGCCGACCTACCGTCCGACCCTCGCCTGTTCGCCGCCCTCCACCGCCCCATCACCAGCCCATCCACGTCATCATCCACGACAGCTGTCACGATCTCAACCATTCTCCTCCACATGCCCCCCACCATCTTGCCGATGCCATTTCCTGGAAGCTCTCTCGAATGCCCTTCAGTGTTTCTTGAATGCCCTACTGGGTTTATGGAAGGCCCTGTTGGGTCTCTGCTTGGCACATTCCCTCCTCTTCTCCTCCGCACCCCCTGCGCTGCTGCTACTGGTGCATCTGGTGGCCGCCCAAGCATGACTGCTGCCGGTGCTGCTGCTGCTGCTGCTGCTGCTGATGCTCCTGTTGCAGTGACCCCTGCTGCTGCCCCTCCAGTTGATGATGCTCCTGCTGCTGCTACACCTCCTACCACTGTTGCCCCTCCTTCCAATCCTGACCCTGTACAAGCCTCGCCAATCCCCACTCTCCTCTCCCCCTCCCCCTCCGCTCCCATCCCCACCCTCCCCACCTCCTCCGCCTCCTCCCCCGCCCTCCGCCCATACAGCACTCGAAACAGCTGCTCTTTCCGCCAGGCCACCACGGCATGCAGCAAACACAGCCCCTCCCAACACACCAACCACACCACCGCATCCCCCCCTGCCAGCCGCACCGCATAGAACCCAAAGTAACCGCACACGCAGCCCAGGCAGAGCACTATGGTGGTAGCCGGGCGGGAGTGGGCGCTAACTGCCCCTGTAGCAGCAGCCACGTTATTGAGCAACATGATATAAGTAGTAGCCGACGCGACCAGGAACGCCACCAGCATCTGCCCGGCAACAGTCAGCTTGCAGCCAATCAGACGCAGCCACGTCACCAGCGACCGGTCCGGGCGGGAGAACGAAACCCCGAGAAAAGACGAAGCGTCCAGCGCAGGATCGTGCCGATTCTGACAAGCCGCCACGCCAGCAGCCAGCCTCTCCCCTGCAAACCTCCACCCCGTCGCTCCAATCACCACCAGCATCACCAACAACCCTGCGACCAACTCATCAGCACACGCCCTGGCAAACCCTGCTAGCTCCTCCCTGCCTCGCCTCTCCCGCCCCTCCCGCTCCCTCCTCGCCTTCTCCTCTTTGGAAAGCTCGACCTTCTGAGCCATGAGGTGATTAGAACGGTCTGTGGCGGCTAAGTGTTGGGCGTGAAGGGAGACAGAGAGGGCGGACTGGGAGAGCTTGGCGGCTGAGAGGCGGTTTCGCTCCTCTAGGGCGGTTACGTAGCGGAGGGCGAGCAGGGAAGGGGTGGGGGCTGTGACTGTATGGGATGTGAGTGCATGGGATGTGAATTCATGAGATGGGGTTGTGATTGCGTGGGAAAGCGTTGTGTGGGAATGGGTTGCATGGGCGTCGGACAGAGCCAAATGATGAGCTGGCATGGGCTGGTACGGATGTGGCTGGTACAGGTGTGATTGTTGCAGGTGTGACTGGTGTAGGTGTGACTGGTGCGAATGTGACTGGTGCAGGTGTGATGATAACGGATCGTAAGAATGTGGTTCGCCTGATGTGGAGCTCTGATGGTACGGGTGTGTGGGTGGGGCTGTTGGGGAGGACGGGAAGGGCGCTATGGATTCAGGAGCGTGCGAGAGAGGGGCATAGGGCGGTGAGACGGAATGGTATGCGTGAGATGGAAGCGAGTGGGTTTCAGGAGTGCGAGTGGGGATGGAGCTAGTAGAGACAGAACGAGTGGGGATGGCAGGGATGGGAGACTGGGGATCAGGAGAGTGCAATTGAGGAGCATGGGGTGGTGAGTCGGAATGGCATGCGTGAGACGGAGTGGCATGCGCATGGCTTTCAGGAGTGCGAGAAGATTGCTTTTGAGGCGCCTCAAAAACAAGAGCATAGAATGGTGAGACGGATTGGTATGCCTGAGAGGGAGGCGAACTTGGAGCTTGCGTGTCCTGCTGCATCTGCTGCTGCCACTGCTGCTGCTTCTTGGTCTGCTCTTGCAATCGCCTCGGCTCTCCTTGCCTGCTCTTCCTCGCACTCTCTTCCTTCCCTGTGCCTTGACCCTTGTGCTTCCTGCTCTGCTCTTGCTTCCCCGTGCTACCACCCATCTTCATCCCTCCGCCTGCCTTACACTCTCCCATCATGCCCCACTCCTCTTCTTCTCCTCCATTCTCCTTAGCCAATCCCTTCTTCCTCTCCCTCTTCTCCCTCTGCTCGCCCTTCTCCTTCTGCCCCCTCTTCTCCTTCCTCTCCCTCTTTTCCTTCCTCTCCCTCTTTTCCTTCTGCCCCCCCTGCTCCTTCTGCTCGTCCGTGTGACCCTCTACCCCCGCGGCCACCTCACTCCGCAGCAGCACGGCAGCCATGGGGTCATACGAGGAAATGAGCGAGCTCAACACTCCCACTCCATGCTCTTTCTCCACCCCCTCTTCCTCCATCCCGTCATGACCCACCCCCTCTTCCTCCACCCTCTTCTCCTCTCCTCCCTCTGCTTCCTCTGAACCTGCTTCGTCCTCCTCCCACACCTCCCCTTCCCTTTCTGCCTCTCCTTCAAACCCCCCAGTTGTTCCACCTGAACCTCCATGCATATGCCTGCCCAGCCGCCACTCTGATCCAGGAGCAGAAGGAGCAGATGCACGGATAGCAGCAAGAGCAGCAGGACGAGGGTCAGCAGCAGGAGAAGGAGCAGGGGCGGGAGCAGGAAAAGGAGCTGAACTCGTGGCAGCATTAGAAACGGCGATCGGAGAAGCAGAAGCAGCAGCTTGGTTCGGCACGGTCCGAGCCAGCGCCCTTCGTACGCGAGCGCAGGTTCGGAAGGTGGAGAGAGTTGCTGCGAGAAAGGCGTGGGGAAGAGGAGCGTGCTTCACTACTGCTGCTGCGCCTGCTGCTGCGCCTGCTGCTGCGCTTGCTGTTGGTCCTGCTGTTGCTGCTAATGCACCACCCGTATCCACTACACCAGCACTACTGCTGTGTGCTGTATTCGCAGCACTGCCGACTTGTGTTCTAAATGGAAGCACCAACTCCGATAGAGAGGCCTCTATCATCTGAAAAGTGTGACCAAGGTGGGAGGAGGGAGAGGAAGGGAGGGGAGGAAGGAGAGAGAAGGAAGTGGGGGAGAGGGGGGAGGAGAGGGGATAGCTGGGGATTATAATACGATAGTAAAAAAGGGTGTTGGAGTCTAGAAAGGAAACAATAAAGGAGGAATATGTCAAGCTGGAGAGATCAAGGCAGCAACAAGAAGCTAGAGAGAGAATTACCTGGGAAAGCTCATCAATAGGAATGGGCTTTTGTGACGTCAGCACATGCGACTCCACCTGCACAGGTCCGAGGCAATAACGAGATCAGTCGTTGAAACATAGTGAAAAACATCAACCATTGTAAGCTCCCCGACCGTCAGTGAGGTGAAGAACGTCGTAGTTACTGTGGTATAATTCGCTAAGGGAATAATGGTGATTGTGGATATTTTTGCAAAATTATTTCACGTGCATAGAGAGAGAGTTGGCAATGGGCTGTAAGGCCAGGGGAAGAGTAAAATCACCTCGGAAATGACAGCGCCGAATGCCACCCCGAGCGATTGGGCCCACTGATTCGCATAGTCCACGCCAAGCCCAACGGTTGACCCATCGTGCGCTGACCTATCATGCGTTGACCCATCCAATGAACCACGGGATGTGTGGTCCACGGAGCAGCTCGCGTGACTACAACGAGCGTGACTTGATCGGTCGAGCAGTTGAGCTTCGTCCTGTGCCTCCTCGGTCCTCTGATTCTTACGCTCCTCGATTCCAATCCTGTGGTTTGCGGCGATGGGGGCGTGACTTCCGCTGGTTGCGACCTCGTTGTCGCTAGTTCGAGTCGCGTCAACGGTCACATCGCAGGTTGTGCAGCATGACGTGGCTCCACCCGGTTCGCTGCTCTCGGATTCCCGAAAATGCGGATCTGAGCCTGAAGGAATCGAATCGAGATCACTGTCAGCTACTTCGTTGTTGCGAAGGGTAACAGCGCCGTCCCGTGAAGGATGCGAATTCTCGCTGTTTCGTGAAGCATGCGAACCGTCTTCCACCTCCAAAGGCGTCGTCCCGTCGTTACAAGGATCACTGAAGATGTCACTGCTGACGTCGGATTCCTTCACGAATTCCGGCTTACTAGCTTCGACAACGGAACTTAATTCGCCAACCATGTCGCACTAACTGCGAACTATAATCGCCTCTTACGTTGAGAGTCGGGCTAAAACATGGATCCAAGCTAGCGAATCCCTCCAAGAGGCGTGCCAGCAAGTCTAGTGGCTACGAAAGCAACACCCTAAAAACAGAGAACGAATGACGCTGGTCGACTGTCCCTCTTCGTGACAGATGATCCTGGTAATCTGTAAGCTCCATGGATGGTTCTGGCCATTGGAGCCGAGGTATCATTTTCATTGAGCTATGAGAAAGGAGGTGCAGAAAATGGCGGGAAAGGAGACTGTCAGAAGTGTCAGTGTACGAGGAGGACCTGAAATTTCCCACACAGGAATTCAAATTAGTCACAATAATGGGATCTTGCGAAACCATTCGAGGAATGTTCCTGCTAGTAGAGCTCATTTTCTGTATGTTTAGAGAAATCGACACTGTAGATGATTCGCGCAAAACGATTCCCAGGCGATCTTCGTTGTTGTACAAGCAGGCAGTGTGTCCCTCAACCTTGCCCAATGCCCGCAAACCGAACAAAACCATGGTATGCGAATTCAGAGCACTGACCGAATTGTTTCAAACCGAATGAGCTGGCTGCTTCAGCTTCGGCGCTCGTTTCCTCCATTGGGAGCGTCGAATGCGTTGCACTGACAAACAGCTCGTCCCGCCATGGCTGCTGTTTCACGAGTCATGAATTCGCGCGCGATTCAGGTCAGAGAATTTAGCCACGTTTCGCTGATAACGTTGATCACCGCATCTCCCTCTCAGGCTCTTAGTCTACACTGTAGACCTTGTTCGAGCGTTCTAATGACAACACCTTTTGCTAAAGTCACCTCGGTTGCAAGCACTCGGCTCAGAGTCAGCTCATTAGATGCCAACCGTCAGATATCCGTATTTCCGGCTGACGTGTACACCTCGCGCTTCATTGGCCCAGGAAAATCCCTGAGGTTCTCAACGAATCTGCGTTTAGGTCGATCTGATCCGTTGAATCACCTCCGTTACAGTCACGTTTCTGATCCCAGGATGGATTTGGCGAAATCAGCTGCAGCATCTCGATATCTAAGCATCAGATGCTATTCCGGTCAAGCAGACAATGCCTCATCAGGCAATTTGTCATCAAGCACTGGCTCGGTAGTAGGCATTGGTTCGGCAGCACACAATGGCTCGGCAGCAGGCAGTGGCTCGGCAGCAGGCGACGCAGCAGGCAATGGCTCGGCATCAGGCGACGGTCTGGAGGGTTTGAACGAGGAGCAGCGAGCAGCGGTGGTGGCATCTCCACACGGCTGTGTACGAGTGGTGGCTGGTCCTGGGTCTGGCAAGACCCGCGTGCTCACACACAGGGTCGTGAATCTGATAAAGAACCTCGGAGTGCACCCCCGGAAGATACTGGTAAGCTGACGCTTTTGAGAATTCTCAGAACTCACATGGTTGTGTGCGTTAGTGGCCGGGCTTGGGCCAGGCAAGACCCGTGTGCTCACCCACAGGGTCGCGAATCTCATCAAGAACCTCGGAGTGCATCCCCGGAAGATACTGGTAAGCTGACAGTTTCGAGAATTCTCAAAGGTCACACGGCTGTGTACACATGGTGGCTGGGACAGGGTCCGGCAAGACACGTGTGCTCACCCACAGGGTCGTGAATCTCATCAAGAACCTCGGAGTGCATCCCCGGAAGATACTGGTAAGCTGGCTTGCTGCATGGATTCTGACACTAAAAGCCTAAAGTGCGAGTGGTGGCGGGGCCTGGCTCAGGCAAGAAGACCCGTGTGCTTACCCACAGGGTCGTGAATCTCATCAAGAACCTTGGTGTGCACCCCCGGAAGATACTGGTAAGCTTACTGGTCGCATGGATTGTGACACTGAAAGAACCTAGAAGACATTCAGAATTGTATAACCCTATTTTTTAGCTGCATGGATGGGCCTTAATGGCAATTCTGGGGGGTTGTTTTCGTTTTTGAAGTTTTCTGACGTTCCGTTTTGGCCTGTGCCTGTGCCTGTTCCTTTGCCTGTGCCTGTTCCTTTGCCTGTGCCTGTGTCTGCTGCAGTGTATCACCTTCACCAACAGAGCAGCCAATGAGCTTGTGACACGTCTCCAGGCCCTCCTGTCTCCCGAGGCTGCTGCTGCAGTGCATGTGAGTTGCTGCTGTTACAGGGTTACCACAGTTACCCGTGATGGTCTGCTCGCGTTGGTCACCTGCTCGTTCATGTGCCATCACAGTGATCCGTCACCTGTTCTTTCATGTAATTTTGAGAGGTCCCAAAAGTTGCGTACTTACATGCGGTTTTGAGACGTCTCAACAATGGCAGTATTGCTCGTATCCTCACCTTGAGTTAACTAAAGAAATCATTCTCGTATGTTTCCTAACCCTTCTTGGCTCTCTTTCCTATGGTTGGTTTGGTTGGGTTGCGCCGGTTGCTCTCAATGGGTGAGATGCCTGCAGGTGGGCACATTTCACGGCATTTCTGCTCGCATCCTCAGGAGCGAAATGCTTCCTTCGTTGCGCAACCGCAAGTAAGCAAGAATGACAGGAATGTACACTTCTAAGTTCAAATGTATCACTTATAAAAAAACACTTTGCTTGTATAAGTTTATCTGTACCTGTTCTCTTGTAGAGCCCAGTTGCCCCCCTCTGTCTGCCGCCCCATAGATGCTACAGGGACTGCACTATACATGCATTTTTAAGCGCCTGAAGAATGGACTCCTTGTGCCCACACTCCCCTGTGTGTGCATCTCACAGATGCTACAGGGACTACACCATATACGACGAGGATGATTCGTTGCGAGTGCTGAGACGTCTCAAAAGTCGTCTTCTTGTGCCCACACCCCTCGATCTACCTGCCTGCCTGCAGGTGCTACAGGGACTACACCATATACGACGAGGATGATTCGCTGCGAGTGATTAAGGATATTGATAAGCAGGTGAGATTGCGTCTCATGGTCCATCCATCATGGTCCCTCCATACAATGAACCGTTAAACCCATAAACTCCGAAACTCATGAACACATGAATCCCTAAGCCTATTTACCCATGTACCATAAACCCATGAACGCATAAACCCAAGAACCTATGAACCCATGAACCAATGAAGCCTAAACTTGTTTCCTCCATCCATCTCATCCTTTCAATCCCCTGTTCACCCCAGGAGAAAGAAAGACTCGCTAAGATCAGCTCATATCAGCCAGGAAAATCCAATTCAGCAGCAGCAGGAGCCAATCCAGACGGCCTATACGAGGCCATGTCGCATCTCTCTCTCCAATCAGGCGACGCCACGTCAGCAGCACAGGCAGCAGTGGCAGAAGTGTTAGGGGATGCGGGGGGTGGGGGAGCGGGGGGAGATGGGGTAGATGGGGATAAGGAGGGAAACCGGTTAAAAAATATAAGGGATGCTGTGTTGAGGTATAAGGAGGGGGGGATGAAAGAGGACATGAGGGGAAGAGTGGGGGAGAGGAGGAGAGGGAGGTTCGAAGGGGAGTTGAGCATAGGAGGCTCCATTCCCAGATACGCCAAGTTGTACGAGGTGAGATGAGAATGGGTTTTGAGGCGCCTCAACTCTTATAAGTCTGGATGCATTCCCAGATATGCCAAGATGTACGAGGTGAGATTGCAGAAAATAATTTGCACGAGTATTTACAGAGCCCGAAGTGAGGTTTGGTGTATTAGCGAGCATGCATATTTCATCCATCATTCCCCCTTTTCTCTTCCTGTCCTGTCCCTGTCTGTCAGTACTAGTCTATTCTTGTGTCGTCTCAAGAATATTTCGTGCGTCACTACCCGTCCTCCCTGTTCCTACCTGTCAGGAGGAGCAACGCGTTGGATTTTGACGACCTCACACACTTCCTCCTCGACCTCTTCCACTCTCAACCTTTGAAGCGCCTCAAAATCTCTCCTTTCCGTGCTTCCTGCGCTCCCTGGTTCACTTCCCGCCTTCCCTGGCCCTGTCAGGAGGAGCTGAGGCGCAGCAACGCGTTGGACTTTGACGACCTCACTCATTTCCTCCTCGATCTCTTTCACACCCAGCCACACGTGCTCCAGGTGAGCCCGCGTGCTCCAGGTGAGCCCACGTGCAAGGTGAGGTAGTATGTGCGGATTTGTGCCTCTTTCTGTCGCCCATCCATGCTCTTCCTCCTCAACCTTTTTCGCTCACATCCCCACATGCTCAAGGTGAGCCTAGCATTTGTAGGCGTATTATGTTACATGCAAATCTATCTCTATGTATACATATATGTGCTGGTGGGGCAACAATTGCCTTTTCCGTATGCGCGTCTCACCCACATTCCCCTACGTCTCCTCTCACGCCACCACAGAAATACCAGGAGCGCTTTCAGCATGTGCTGGTGGACGAGTTTCAGGACACGGATTCGGTGAGTGGTCCGCCTTGCAGCACCTCGGTGCCCTCTGGTCTGCGTTCTCTGTTTTTGAGGCCTGTTGTGTTAGGGAATAATGAGGTTACTTGGCTGCAAATACCAGTTCAGCATGTGTTGGTGGTGGGCGACTTTCAGGACACGGATTCGGTGAGTGGGCAGCGTAACAACACCACCACAGCCCTCTGCTCTGCTTTTTAAGTCGACTCAAAAGTCACCTCGCTTTTAACATGTGCTCGTAGACGAGTTTCAGGACACGGATTCGGTAAGGGAAGAGCGTTGCAGCACCTCTCGTCTCTTCTCTACTTCCTCTCTTTGTGAAACGTTGGCGCTTCCAGCATGTGTTGGTGGACGGGTTTCAGGACACGGATTCGGTATGTGGGCAGCGTTACCACACCGCAGCCATCTGTGCTTTGCCCTGCCGCGCTGCCTCTGGTATCACGGCAGGTTTCAGCATGTGCTGGTGGACGAGTTTCAGGACACGGATTCGGTGAGTGGGCAGCGTTGCAGCACCAGAGGCATCTGTTGTTGCTTTGCCCTGCCGCTCTGGCTCTGGTGGTATCACAGCAGGTTTCAGCATGTGCTGGTGGACGAGTTTCAGGACACGGATTCGGTGAGTGGGCAGCGTTGCAGCACCTCTCTACTCTGCTCTGCTTGCTCTCGTCTGCAGATTCGTGCATCTCTCTGCCACGCATTCGTCTTGTCTGCCTTCCCTCCCTTCCCTTCAATAATAGTATCAGGTGCTGTTGCTCCTAAGGCTCAGTGTTATGTTCCTGTTTTATGTGTCGTGGGAGACATTTCAGCTGCCTTTAAAACCACTCCTGAGTCGGCTGAAAGAACTTCTCCCCTGCTTTCTCCCTGCTTCTCTGTCGTCTCCCTCTCCTCCAGTTCCAGTACGAGATAGTGCGGCTACTCACACTCAACTCCAAGCGCCTGTTTGATGATTGTTTGGGACACCTGAGTCGACTGAAGACTCTTTTCCCTGCTTTTTCTCTGTTCTCGCCCTGCTTCTCTTCTCTCTTCCTGCCCTCCAGTTCCAGTACGAGATAGTGCGGCTGTTGACACTCAACTCCAAGCGCCTGTTCGTTGTGGGGGACATTGACCAGGTGCGACCAGGTGCGACCAGGTGCGATCAGGTGAGACCAGGTGAGACCAGGTGAGACCAGGTGCGATCAGGTGGGGCTTGTTGACTAAGTGTGATGTTTTGATTAGATTTGATTGGATTCAAAGTTTCTGTTTGTTATGGGAGACTCCTAATCGAGTCCCCAACTGCATGCCTTGTCACTCTCGCTACTGGCCTTTTCTTGCTCCCGTCTTATCCACACGTTTCGTTTTGTCATTTCTTACATTGGTCCACCCATTCAATCCTCTTTCGTTGCATGTGCGCACGGCATGGCATGGCAGTGCATCTATTCCTGCAGCGACTACTCCCTCACTTAGTACTGATTCCTCCAGCCTCCTTCCTCCCTTCGTTCCTCGTATGGCATGGCAGGGCATCTATTCCTGGAGGGGAGCATAGAACCACTACCTGCAGCAGCGGCCGCCTGCCTGCTAGCACACCTTATTGCTCACTTGCTACTCTCCCCCCTTCCAATTGCATGCACGTACGGCATGGCAGTGCATCTATTCCTGGCGCGGAGCAGAGTACCACTACCTACAGCGGCTCTTAGACGAGGACTTTGATGACGTCACCACGCTGCAGGTGAGCGAGTGATTGAGTGAGTGCGGGAGTGTGAGTGAGGGTGTGCGATCGAGTGAGTGAGCGAGCGAGTGAGTGAGTAAGCAAGACCCACGTCCCCCGCCTCACCACATCATTTGAGGCCACCCGTGTATGGTGGGTGGAATCAGCTCGCACTAATTCTCCCATGGTGCCAATCTTGTTCTCACTTCTATCACTGAAAGAAGTAATCACTGTCTCTAATGTCCCTTGTATCCCCGCCTTCCCCTCCCCTCCACACCCCCCCTCTCCACTTGTATCCCCCACTTCAGCTTCGCAGCAACTACCGGTCATCCCAGAGCATCCTGCAGGCAGCAAACCGCGTGATTCAAGGAGGGCCCAGGGACAGACGCGTTGGGGGAGGCACTTTGGAGCTGAAACCAACCAAGGTGCGTGGTGCGATGGAAATGAGGATAAGGGGGATAGACGAAAAGAGGGTGTTTTGAGATCGAGTAGCTGTGTGAGAGGTAGCTGGCAGCAAATCGCGTGATTCAGGGAGGGCCCAGGGACAGGCGCGTTGGGGGAGGCACACTGGAGCTGAAACCGACTAAGGTGATCCAGGGGAGGGTTGAGGGGAGGATGGAGTAAGGGATGAAAGGTGTCAAAGGGATTTGGAAGGGAGGAAGAAAATCTCTTGATTTTTGCCAAAAGCCCTTTCTTCTCCCATCTCACTTCCCCACATCCACCCACTTCCCCCAGCCCCCAGGCCATCCGGTGTTCTTCTCCTTCTTCCCCTCGTGCGCCAGTGAAGCTGCAACCATCGCTGAGGAGATAGAGAGCCTCGTTGACCCTGCGGAATTGTCCCCCTGGCGGGGGCAAGCAGGGTCGAAGGGGGGGGCGGAGGGGCACTGGGAGGGGAGAGGCAGGGGGAGGTAGGAGGGGAGGGAGCAGTCACCAGTGGGGGGTATGCGTGGAGGGACTTTTGTGTGCTGTACCGCACACACGCTCAGGCAGTGCAGCTGCAGCAGGGGCTGGCAAATCTCGCCATCCCATGCATTGTTGTGGGAGGGAGCACGCTGTTCCAGAAAAAGGTGGGTTGGTGGCTGGGTGAGTAAGTGGGTGGGTGGGTTGAGGGCGGTGCAGCTGCAGCAGGGGCTGGCGGACCTTGCCATACCATGCATCGCTGTGGGCGGGAGCACGCTGTTCCAGAGAAAGGTAGGTTGCTGCTTTGCTGTGCCGCACATATTGCTTTGTCATAAGCCGTTGAAGTGGGTCAGGCAGTGCAGCTGCAGCAGGGGCTGGCGAACCTTGCCATCCCATGCATCGTTGTGGGAGGCAGCACGCTGTTCCAACGCAAGGTGGGTTGCTGCTCTCAGGTGAGCAACGCCGCAGCAGGTTTATGTGCCCCTTCTCCCATTCTCTCCCCCTCCCCTGCTGCTCTCAGGTGGTTAGATACCGGATAGCCTACATGAGAGTGGTCTCAAACCCAGCCAATGGATTGCCCGTCCCATCCGTCTCCTCCCCTCCTTTGCGTCCCTGCCCTCGCTGCCCTCCCTCTATTCCCCTCCCTTCCTCCATCTCATCCCCTTCCCCGCTCAGGTGGTTAGATACCTGATAGTGTACATGAAAGTGGTCGCCAATCCAGCTAATGGGTTGCTCGTCCCATCCAGCTCCTCCCTTCCATCCCTTGCCTGCCCTCCCCTCCCTTCCTCCATCCCATCCCCTTCTCCGCTCAGGTGGTTAGATACCGGATAGCCTACATGAGAGTGGTCGCAAACCCAGCCAATGGATTGCCCGTCCCATCTTATTCTCCCTTGCTCCCCCCCTGCCTTGCTCAGATGGTAAAGGACCTCATAGCATTCATGAGAGTTGTCGCCAATCCAGCAGACAGTGTTGCCCATCCCATCCAACTCTCACTCCCCTGCCCTCCCCTCCCTCCACTCCCTCCTCTCCCTCCACTCCCTCCCCTCCCTCCACTCCCCTCCTTACCCCTTTCAGGTGGTGAAGGACCTAGTAGCATACATGAGAATGGTCGCCAATCCAGCAGACAGTGTTGCACTGGGTCGGATCTACAACACGCCCTCCAGAGGTATTCCATTCTTTACCCCCCAGAGGTATTCCGGTGCTTACCCTCTGCAGGTACTTCGGTAGTCTGGTGTTTACCCTCCAGAAGTATTCCAGGAATGCACAAAACTTTTTTTTTTCCAAGATTATTCTGTCGTTGACTTTCTTTTTCCGCCTTTTTTTCCTTTCTCTCGTTCGTCAGATCTAAAACACATCCTCCAAAGGTGTTTTCTAAGTAGGCCTTTTTTTTTTGTTTTCTTTCCCTGAATTTGTTCCATCCCCTCCTCCTTGTATGCCCATTCCCCTCCCTTCCCCCCTCCTCTTGCCTTGCCCATCAGGCCTGGAGGCCTAGGCATGAGCAGTGGGTTCAGAGCCTCAACACTCCCTTTCACCCTTGGATTTTCTCTGTACCTGTTCTTCTTTCTCAATATTTCCCGCCCTCGCTCTCCCCTCAACCCTGGGTTCCCTTGCCCTTCAGGGCTGGGGGCCAAGTCATGGGCAGCAGTGCAGCAGTGGGCTCAGAGGCTTGACTCTCCTTGTCGCCCTCTCTTCCCCCCATCCCTTTGTCGCCTTGCCCAAGCAGGCCTGGGGGCCAAGTCATGGGCCACAGTGCAGCAGTGGGCTCAGGGCCTCGACTCCCCTGCGGGCACGGCAATCCTGGTACCCTTGCATCCTAGCAGTCTCTCTTTCATCCATCATCCTCTTGTCATCATCTTCCTGTTGACAAAAACTCCTCCCACCTCCCTCCTGTCCTGTCCTCCACCTTCCCACATCACGTCACATGCATTGTCTATGCATTCGGTCAGCATGCCAATAGCACCCATATCATCTCTTTCCCATCCTCCTCACTCTCCCATCCTCCACTCTCCCATCCTCCATCCTCCCACATTACGTCACATGCATTGTCTTGGCATTAAGCCATCGTGCCAATAGCACCCATATCATCTCTTTCCCATCCTCCTCACTCTCCCATCCTCCACTCTCCCATCCTCCATCCTCCCACATTACGTCACATGCATTGTCTTGGCATTAAGCCATCGTGCCAATAGCACCCATATCATCTCTTTCCCATCCTCCTCACTCTCCCATCCTCCACTCTCCCATCCTCCATCCTCCCACATTACGTCACATGCATTGTCTTGGCATTAAGCCATCGTGCCAATAGCACCCATATCATCTCTTTCCCATCCTCCTCACTCTCCCATCCTCCACTCTCCCATCCTCCATCCTCCCACATTACGTCACATGCATTGTCTTGGCATTAAGCCATCGTGCCAATAGCACCCATATCATCTCTTTCCCATCCTCCTCACTCTCCCATCCTCCACTCTCCCATCCTCCATCCTCCCACATTACGTCACATGCATTGTCTTGGCATTAAGCCATCGTGCCAATAGCCCCCATCCCATCTCTTTTCCAACCTCCGCTCTTCCATCTCCACTCTCCCATCCGCCACCCCACATCACATTCATTGACTAGGAGCTAGCATTGGGCAAGTATGCAGACAACCCTCCTCCCATCTCTTTCCCATGCTCCACTCTCCCATCCTCCTCTCTCCCATCCCCCACTCTTCTGTCCGCCACCCCACATCACATTTATCGGACTAGGAACTAGCGTTGGGCAAGCATGCAGACAACCCTCCTTCAATCTCCAAGAAAGCCAGGTCAGATAACAGCCCTGTTTCACATACCAGTCTGTTATTTACCCTGCCATAAAAGGCCAGGTCAGATAACAGCCCTGTTTCTTTCTTGTGCATTTTTGTTGATTGGTCTGTTTCACATACCAATCTGTTATATACCCTGCTCTGCTTCCATATTTCTGTATTACCCTGTTTTTTCTCGTGCGCAATCAGTCGGAAGGTAACAAATGTTATACTTGGTTCCAAAACAAAACTGTATTCCAATATCAGTTTCGTGCAGGGAGAGTCACCTCAGCTTCGCGCACCTCATCCTCCCCTTCCTCCATGCTGTAGGCACACTTGATGGATGGCGCCAATTCCCTTCTGAGTGCCTCGACCTCGAGTCTTGATGGGAGCGAGGTGAAAGGTGGGAAGGCCCGAACCAAACCGGTGAGGGAAGGCCCAAGCCTGTGTATCCACTCTCCTTTCCTCCCCGTGTCTCCTCCTGCTTCTCCTGTCTCAGGGAGAGTCTCCTCAGCTTCGCGCACCTCATCCTCTCCTTCCGCCGTGCAGTAGGCACACTTGATGGCGCCGATTCAAGTCTGGGCGCATCGAATCTGAGTGACTCGAGTCAGAGGGGGAACACGGGTGGGACGAAGGAGCTGCCTCATGCCGGAGGGCTGCTGGGGACTATAGTGGACGTGTGAGTAAGGAGGAGGCGGTGGGGATGGGTGTGAGTGGTGTTTTGAGCCGACTCAGAACCAGTCTCCGTGACTGGAATTGGAGTGGGAGCAAACGTGGGCCGGAAGGGCTGCCTCGCGCTCGAGTGCTGCTCTGCTGGGGACTAGAGTGGACGTGTGAGTAAGGAGGAGGTGGTGAGGGATGGTGAGGCGGAGCTGTCGGTTTGCATGCCTTTAAAAGAGGTGCAAAGGGGTTGAATCAATATTTCCTCCTGTACCCTTGTGACTTGTCCGCTCAATATCCCTCTTATCCATCCCACTTCCCCGCACCTCTTCCCCGGACATCTTTCGCTTACCTCTTCCCCATACCTCTTCCCCGTACCTCTTCCCCGCACCTCCTGTCCAGGCTCGAGTTGAAGCAGGAGTACAGCCCTGCAGCAGCAGCGGCAGCCGCAGCAAAGAGCCGGTCCCCCAACCCTGCAGTGTTGAGGCAGCGGCATGAGGAGGACGGCAAGCGCGCTCTTGACCAGATGGAACGACTTCAGGTGGGTGCGGTGGGAGGGTGTACGGCGTGGTTGTGAGGGGCTGAGAGGAGTTATGGCAGCAACAGGAGGGGCCTGTTTCCCAACCCTGCTGCGTTGAGGCAGCGGCATGAGGAGGAGGAGAAGCGAGCTCTTGATCAGATGGAACGACTGCAGGTGGGAGGGGTGAGGGGGTGGGAATGGTGGGTGTGGTGGGTGGGTGGGTGGGGGGTTGGCTGTTTCTCTTCAAAGGCATGAGGAAGAGGGGAATGGGCTCTTGATCAGATGGAACGACTGCAGGTGGGTGCGGTGGGGGTGTGGCTGGCGTAGCAACAGTGCGGTTGAGAGGAGCTTAGAGGAGTTATGGCAGTAAGGGAAGGAGTCAATTTTCCGACCCTGCTTTTCTGAGGAGAGGGAAGGAGGAAGAGTGAGGAGGCGGGCAAGCGATTTCTGAAGAAAACAGAGCTAGTGCATGCGAGTACGTGCAGATGATTGTTATAGTTTTGTTTCAGCTTCAAGTGTGAGTGAAAATGCCACTTGTGAATCGTGTTATAATCGAATTTTGTAAATCCTTCCTTCGACCTTCCCGAACCGAATGCTGACACTGCAGGACCTAGCGAACAGGTTCGGCCCGACCTGTGGGGTTGGTATGGAGGGAGTGCGGAACTTTCTGGAGCAGATTGCACTACTTTCAGGGGAGATTCACGAGTCTGAAGTGAGTCAATAACGAGTATGGGTGAGTCCTCATAAGGAGTCTCTTGTTTTGTCATGCACAACAAGAAAGCCTTCATCCCGTATTGCTCTTCTATTCATTCTCAATAGTTGCTTCTTATTCATCCTGTTTGGCCATGGTGGCAAGGAGGCTCAGCTGCCTCATACCCGTCCCCACTTCTTCCCTTCCCTCCTTCCCCCCTTCCCCCACCCCCCTCTATTCCAAAATTTGCTCCCCTTCCCCTGTTCCCCCTCCTCTTGGCAGGGCAAGGAGGCACAGCTGTCAGCCAATGCAGTACGGCTGATGACCATCCACAAGGCCAAGGGGCTGGAATTCTCAGTGGTGTTCCTGACAGGCTTATCTCTCAACACACCTTGTGCTCTCCTCTCGCAAAGTTCTCCCTTTTCAGGGCAAGGAAGGACAGCTGTCAGCCAATGCGGTGCGATTAATGACCATCCACAAGGCCAAGGGGCTGGAGTTCCCTGTGGTGTTCCTGACAGGCATCTCTAAGCACTTGCACGCACACACCCTTGTACCGTGATACCCTTGCTTCCCTTTTCAGGGCAAGGAGGCACAGCTGTCAGCCAATGCAGTGCGATTAATGACCATCCACAAGGCCAAGGGGCTGGAGTTCCCTGTGGTGTTCCTGACAGGCTTGGAGAATCGAATCCTGCCGCTGGCTCCGAAAAACTATAAGGAGATGGCTCAGTGGAAGGGGTCTGAGGAGAGGCCGGGTTGGGAGAGGGTTACTATAGGGAAGGGGAGTAGGCATCACAACCATCATCATCATCAGAATCAACAACATAAAGGTCGTCAGCATAATCAGCAGCAGCAGCAGCAGCAGCAGTGGAAGCGAGACGGTAGGGTGCAATCAGGGGACTTGGAGCATGGAAGGAAAGAGGAAAAGGAGTTTTTCTTTAATGAGGAGGAGCGGCGACTGTGCTACGTGGCAGTGACCCGTGCTCAAGATCGGTTGTAAGTTGCTTTTCTACTGTTATGTATAAGCACCTTTCAATATCATTATCTATTTTGCTTTACTACAATTTTTGTGCATGATGTGGTTCAGGTACTTGAGTGGCGCACAACAACGCAGATTGTATGTCGAAAAGATGCACTCACAGGAGCCGTCAGTCTTCCTAGATGGTCTGCAAGACCTTGCTCCGTTTCCAGGAAGCATTTAGGTCAAGCCATCTGCTGTAAGATAAGTATTTTTGAAAGCTCACAAATTTGCAGTAGCTATATCGGAATATGAGTTCATTTATATGTGTTGAAGATATACCTGAGTTAAGTGGAACTTCTGCACTTATACGAGGTGATGTCTAGTGCAACAAACGCGAACGATCCTCCCTGGCTCAACATACCATCATCCATCCTCCACTTCATCACGGATATAACGGTGAAGTATCTCAGTGGGGACTTGTCAAAAGCATTTTGCCTAGTCCATCCTCCTCGAGACTTCATTTTCAAGCTGGCCAACTCCGATTCGGTTTTCACAAGGCTTTCCCCTTGAATTAGAATCGCGAGCAACTTAGTTTCCAAGAATTCGTGGCCGCCTATTTTCTCGTTAATTTGTCAATTTCGCAAGCTCGAGAGGTCTCAATACCTTCTCTGCGTTTCTCTACTCATCTTTGAGAAGTCTAGTACCCATCTCGATTAGGTGTTTAGAGCAATGCCCTTCGCAAATAAGTACGCGGGTATAAGAGCCGCCTAGGGAGCGGACTCCCTACACGCGCTATTCGAGACGACGCAAGAATCGTCCGAGGGACTCTCTCTGTCCGCGACTCTTTCCAGTTCCGTCAGTCATCCACCCGCCAATTCCTATACCGAGCTGTCACCTCGATTCGAAATCACTGTAATTTCCGCGAACCGCACGGTAACACGGTGTCTTTATTGTACCAAGAAGCTGCAGAAAGTGGCTACTGACTTGACCAAAAGGTTTGCCGATTAGCCCTGAAGCAGCATAAGCGTCGGGATACGGAAGTGCCAGGAGCAACGGCAGCGGGACCTGACAGCTCGTCATCGCAGGAGAAGGGTTTAACAAAGACGAAGGGGTCAAAGCTGCGTTGAACGAGAGAGATACTTGGCAAAATGGCAGGCGGTACGGCTGCAGAATCAGTGAAACCGTCACGAGATGAGGGGGAGATGGAGCCCAAGGGGGAGAAGGGGTCAAAGCGGGACAAGGGGTTGAAGCGGGAGAAGGAGTCGAAGAGGAAGGAGTCAAAGCGCAAGGGAATGCGGTGGTCGGTGATGCGGATGAGTCTGCGGAATACGCTGAGGCTGCTGCAGCAGAGGAGGAGTCAAAGCGGAAAAAGGGGTCAAAAGGGGAGAAGAACTCAAAGCGGGATAAGGGGTCAAAGCGTAAGGGAGCTGCGGTGGTCGGTGATGCGGATGAGTCGGCGGAGTACGGTGAGGGTGCTGCAGCAGAGGAGCAGTCAAAGCAGAAAAAGGGGTCAAAGCGGGAGAGAAGGCTAAAACGGGAACTGGAATCGGAACGGAAGAAGGCATTGAGTAGCGGCGGTAATGTGGATGCGGCAGCAGGTGCCAAGGATGCAGCATTGGAGGCAGAGTGTCGATCTGAGGGGTCTAAGCGGGCTAAAAAAGGGTCAAAGCGGAAGAGATCTGTGAGTGCCGACGTGGAAGCTAGCAGCGTTGGGGATGAGGCATTGACAAGTGTTGAGGCTGCAGCAGAGGCGGAAAAAATACTCGGAAAGGAGAAAAGGAAGAAGACGAAGCGGAAAGGAGCTGTGTCTGATGGGTCTGCTAATGAGGTGCTGCTGGCAGGTGTTACGATTACAGCAGAAGCGGAACAATCACCTGAGAAAAAGAAAAAGAAAAAGAAGAAGCAGAAACTGGCTGTGCGTGAGGTGGCGAATGAGGCAGCCAATGAGGCAGCTGCAGGTGATACTACTGCAGCAGAAGCGGAGGAATCACATAAGAAAAAGTCGAAGCGGAATCGAGTTATGTGTGGTGGGGCTGACGATGAGACAGCTGCAGGTGATAATACTGCAGCAGAAGCGGAGGAACTACATGTGGAGAGGATGAAAAAGAAGAAGTCAAAGCTGAAAGGAGCTGTGGATAACGGGGCTGTTAGTGAGGCGGTGACAGGTGCTGGTGTTTCAGCAGAAGCGTTGCAAGCACATGGGACGAAGGAAGAGAAGGAAGAGAAGAAGGAAACGAAGAAGTCAAAACGGAAACGGACTGATGATGGGGCTGCCAGTGAGGCTGCTGCAGGTGATGATGCAGCAGCAGAAGCAGAGCAATCACGTGTGGGGAAGAAGAAGAAAAAGAAGAAGTCGAAGCGGGAACGAGCTGCGAGTGATGGGGTGAAGGAGGAAGAGACAGGTGCTGAGTTTGCAGAGGAGCGTTCTCAGGAGCATGGTGCATCGTTAGCAGGTGCTACTGAGGCGGCAGCAGCAGAGGAAGGGTCTCAGGTGAAAGGAAAAAAAAGGGAATCAGAGCAAGAGAAACGGTCGAAGCGGGAGAAGGCAAAACGGAAGAGAGGGAATAACGGCAACGAGGAGACCAGCAGCATCGGGAATGGGGCAGCGGCAACGGAAGGGGTGGAGGTTGCAGCAGCAGGGGAGCAGCCGCGAGTGAGCGTGTCGAAGCTGGAGAAGAAGGCTGGACGGAAGAGAGCTTTGGGTAGTGGCAGCGGGGAGAATGGCAGGAGTGATGGAATGGCAGTGGAAGGGGCGGGGGTTGCAGTAGCAGAGGAAGAGCAACCGCGGGTGAAGGGATCAAAACGGAGACGAGTTTCAGTCCACAGCGGTGAGGGTGAAGCAGCAAGGGTTGAATCAGCAGCAGGAACTGAAGCAGCAGCAGGAGTTGAGGCAGCAGCAGCAGCAGCAGCAGCAGCAGCAGCGGCGGCAGCATCAACAGGAGCAGCAGCATTAGCAGCACCAGCAGCAGCAGTAGCAGAACTTGCAGCAGCTGCAATTGAAGCAGAATCTGAAGTTGCACCGATGGCACAAGCAGCAGCGGTGAAAATTGAAGGGGCAGATGCAGCAGGGGTAGAAGGAGCAGCGGCACAATCAGTAGCAGTAGGAGCAGAACCGTCAGCAGCTGGGGTAGAAGCAGCAGGGGTAGAAGCAGCGGGGGCGGAACCAGCAAAGAAAAGTCAGGCACCCAAATCAAGGCCGAAGAAAAGAAGCGAAAAAACAAGCGGCGTTTTTGCAATTCCCGTTGATCTGCGCTCGCTCTTGGAGTCATGGGGCATGGACGAGCAGCAGATGTTTCGGGCACTCGTGCTGCGTCCCGGACTCGCGAAAGTAAGTGTAAAGGAACGAATCCTGCCGGGCATCGCAGTGTTACGAGGTTACGGAGTCGAGACCTGCGATCTCGCCCATGCAACCCTGATTCAGCCGTGGTGGCTCGGCGCTTTGTCTGCAGAGGGCATAGAAGAGGTTGTGCAATTTCTGCGGGATTTGGGGGTCACGGATGGGGAGCTCTTGGGGAAGCTGCTGCGGAGAAATCCCTCAATGTTTGCGACCGACTCGGAGAAATTTCAGGAAAAGAAGATTGGGATGCTCAAGGAGCTTGGCATCACCGACTTCGTCCGAACCATGAAAAGGGATTCGCGAGTGATGACTGCTCGTCCGGCAACTCTCACAGGGAAAACGGATTATTTGAAGGAGTTGGTGGGAAATCATCATGCTCATAACATCGTAACGCGTAACACCACCCTCCTGGCAATCTCGACGCGAGAGCTTACGTCCAGGGAAGGGTTGTTTGAGGAACTTTTTGGACGTGAGCTACCCCGGATGGTTATAGCCAAGTTACTCCGGAAAGTGGATAACTCTTCTGGTGAAACTCTGCGAGGGAAGTTTAAAGCCCTGTTCGACCTTCTCGGGGTAGAGCCAGCCCGAAAAGTTGTTTTGAAATATCCCAAGGTGTTGCATGCCTCGGAGGAGTCAATACGTGAGAATTTCCGTCGGTGGGAATCATTCTTAGCGGGCGAATATGATGCAGCGGATATGGTTCGGCGGTATCCGCTGCTGCTGTGTTCTAACTGGGAGAGCGGCATACAACCTAAGCTGGACTTTTTGCAGAAAAATCTTGGCCTGTCTGCCGGAGTTATAGGTTCGGTGCCGTACCTGGTGACGCTTAGCCTTGAAGGCAGGTTGAGGCCGAGAGAGGCGGTGCTTAGAAAGGCTGGGTGGTCGATTGTTGAGTCGGAGGACGGTAAGGTCAAGTGTGAGATGACGGGTGGTGTTGATATGGCTTCTAGAGGTAAGGGGCTGGCGCTGAATACTTTCTTTGGGATTGATTCGAACAGGTTTCGGACGCTCCTTCGCAATCATGGTCTTGCATTGGATTGAATGTGGATTTTGGAAGGAATCTTATGTGGAATTGGGTTAGTTGCGCCTGTTAGTTGAATACCTCACTGTGTGTTGAGGAATGTTGTGTCTGGGATGATATTTTTGAAGCCCATAGCGCGTTTTTATATTATGGAAATCTTGACAACGAGGACACGTGATGAGACAAATGAAGATGGGCCAGCCACGCGAAAACAGGGTTTCGACCCAGCTGGCACGTAAACCAGCGTGGAATTGCGTTTGTATGACTTGGCACAATGTGGCATCATCAGCACTCGGTGACATCGACGTAGGCCACGAGAGCCCTAAAACCACCACCATGTTATAATTGGCTGATACACGTCCATGTCAGACAGCTTCGAACCACATCGACGTGGGCTGAAGCAGGCCTTTGTCGAACCCAATGCTGACGCTGCTCCGTTCAACGTCGGCTCGGAAGTATCAGCTCCACCTTCCGTTCAGCAGACAACGCAACGATACGAATTTCCTGAGAATCCCGTTTCTTGATTATCCCAGCCTGCCGAGTATAAGTAATTGCTGGTCCGTCCTTTTCGAACTATCGCATTTCTAGACACCCGCCTTCAGGTTCAGCCAAGCTTGCGTTGCTTTCTTCTTTGTGACTTCATTCTTCGCTTGCTAATCTCTCAGCAATGGCTGCCACCTGCATGGCTACCCTCGCCCATCCGTCAGCTTCTCTTGTGAGGACTTCAGCAAATGTTCAGGTGAGGCCTCTTCCAGCGTGTGCTGGTTTGGGACCTCTCCGGATAGTCTCCAAGAAGACTCGGGTGGCGTCATTCGTGAAGGCGACTGAAGGCGCTCGGTCAAGGTCTCGCGTGGTGTGTGCCGCTGGTGACGTATCAGGAGATGCAACGACTTACCTTATCGCTGGAGCCGTGGCCATCACGCTTATCGGTACCGCCTTCCCCATCCTGTTCTCGCGAAAGGATCTCTGTCCAGAATGCGATGGAGCCGGTTTCATCCGGAACTCACGTGTCCTGAGAGCGAATGCTGCGCGGAAGGACGACAACCGGATTGTGTGCCCGCGATGCAAGGGTTTGGGAAAGCTCAACCAAGTGGACAAGTAAAGTCTCTCGGCAAAGGATGGTTGAAAGTGAAGGACAAGAACAATTTACAACTCTTTCCTGCCATGATCTCGAACGCGTAAACATCAGACACTGTCGACCATGTTTATTCCCCGCCCCGTGCTTCTGCTTCCCCAAGCTCTCGATGCAACTTTCAGCTGACTTTGATGAGTTGATTTCGGGCTATATTGATGGCTCAGTGATTACTTCTGAACATTTTGTACATGAAATTTGGAAGGTTGTTATTTGCTATTTTTTTTTGCTTCTCTTGCTTCTCCAATCGTACGCTGAACTGCCAATCTTAAGTAGTCAATCAATACAGCCATTTTTTTACTGGTTACGTTATGATGCAACTTAATGGAATTGTATTAGTGGGAAAATGTAAACACAGTTTTCGGCCACCAGTACTCGGTAATTATTGCTCAGACGATAGGTGCTCTTTAGAACTAGGGCCCCAGCCAGAAAAGGACCTTATGAATTTGTGCGCCACAGAATTCTGCACGGGACGTGATTGATCGACTGCAAAGTGACTTCAGGGAGTGAATAGAGCAAGCCTGCTTCTTGTTTGAGAAATGGATGTTCTTGCATGAAATCACAAACACGCAGCGACGGGACACTTTTGTGCAATTTCGCTTTTCGCAGAAGCTCCACTTACTGTGTTAACACTTGAACCCTCTAAGCATAGGCGAAGTGTAATGGGCAACTTGAATTATCACTGACCCCAATTGCTCGGTCCAAGCTGGTCCAACCGCTGGGAAAGCAAGTGCTGTACACTGTAGGCTGCTGGTGCAAGCTGACGAGGGTCTCTTACGAAGGTTCCCATTCATTACCCAGCAATTGGGGTCACACCTGCGACTCGGCTTGGCAGTCAATCGCAGTTCCGGAACTGTCTTTGCCTTGGTTCCGCTTGGAATCAGCAGCGAAATTTGAACATTCGCGCGACATTTGCGGACAATTTCGTGTGTGAGACGACATCGTTTTACTGGCTGCGAAACCCAAATACGCTTGACCTGCGCTCATCCCGTTACACTTCGGATTGACCGACCTTCATTCTCACCCTATTCTCGATAATTGCACACCCCCTACCCCCTATTTCGAAGGTACCCTGTACGTTTTCTGGCTCGATGTGACGGACACCCAAAGATTGACGAGGGTAGTTATCGAGCCTCGCACTTAATTTTCCGAGTGAGTAGTAGGGGTGGATGGCTGCCCTTGGAACTCTGGTTTCTTTTCTTCCATTCGCGAGCAGGTTGCGAGACTCCCTCCTCCGAAAGTCTACAATCGTTGCTTGCTACCCAACTTTAACGTTTAACCAAGAGTAATTACCCCAGGGTGTGCGCTTAAGGGGTGTGAAATTATCGAGAATAGGGTGTACAGCAAAGCCGGCAGTGGGTTGGGTGGAGGAGAGGGTGGCTCACGGAAGAACCTGATGGCCCTGAGACACATACGGCTGTGCACAGACCAAAGCCGGTTCTTTCCGGCCCCCCTCCCCTCCCCAACAACCAGATCGTAGCCAGCCACTCCTTCAGGCTCGCGGTCACCTGATAAAAACTCTTCGTTCAACCTCCCCCGACGCAGTCACCTCCCAGATCCCCGAATGCGACATCAACGAAATGAAGTGTAACTCGCAATTGCTCGCATCACTGTAGTTGGCGTCGAACTTCGGTTGACTCCATCTGCTGCAGTGAGTGTGAAATGCCAGCTTTGCTTCGATGACTATGTCAGTTCTGTTCAACAGGAAGTCATGGCTTCAAGCTTGTACATCTGGAGCTCCTGAATCACCGAAACATTTCCTTCCACACAAGTGTCTCTGCCTAGGATTCAAGATCAGAAGCGGTAGTTGTTGCTGCAATATTTAGCTGTTGATTGTTGTAAGACGCACATACGCTTCGTAGTTTTATAGCTTCCTGCCTACAAGGATTCCTTGATGCCTGACACTACCGCGCTTCAGTCGCAGAGCTGCCTGTCGTAGTGGGGATTCTTGATGCCTGACACTAATGCGCGTTCTTGACGTAGTCGCAACGAAGATAGTTCTCTGTTGTTGTTGAGAGTCACTGTACCTTTAGAGGGAGGCGGTTGCGGGAAGTCACAGACACAAGGTGTCTGAGATATTATGGCTCCAGAAAGAAAAGGTTCTTTGAAGACATCAAGTGACGCTTTTCAAGGTGAATAATCGACTTCCTCCTGCCATAACAACTTTTTTGACGAGATGCGGAACGAAAGGAAGAGAACTAATATATCCGAACTAATTCCACCTGCAGGACTATACAAAGGAGCTGATATTCTGTTGTTACGATATTTATTTCCCAAACCCGAAGACATCAGTCTGGAGGCTCTAATACCGGTCAAAGAACGAGATTCTATACCTCGCCCGTCCTCGATAGCCGAGCTTGAATCATCAACAGATGCAAAAGCTTCGGCATCCAGGCGTACCCCCGTCCCCATGTTCAACTCCATATTCTCCGCTCTCCTGTATTGTTTCGTGGGACTCGCCATGGGTTTCATAAACAAGGTGCGAGGCTTTCCGGCTCTTTACCAGTAGTAGGCGTCTGATCACAGTATCACGCTTCAGAAACAACCATCCATACCAGGATTCGGACTGAATGTGCTGATCGGTTGACATTGCAGGCCGTTTTGATGCAATGGCCGTACTCAAACTCTCTCCTCATGCTCCAAATGGCCGCATCTGTGGTGATCGTGTATTCCCTGGGCTGCGTTGGCCTGATTGAAGTCAAACCATTTGATTGGGGTTCGGCAAGATCGCTTTCCGGGGTCGTGTTCTTTTACAACGCGAACGTCGCCTTCGCATTGGCAGCTGTGGAAGCTCTGAGCATCCCAGTGTACCACGTGCTCAAGCGGCTAACCCCTGTCATGGTCCTCTGCGCGAAATACTTGATCGGGGATGGCTCCCCACCCCTGGAGGTCTGCATGTCAGTGCTCGCCGTTGTTTCAGGTATTTTTTTCTTTCTTTCTTGTAGTTCACACCTCTTCTAGGGCGCATGATCTCATACTTGAACTTCCACTCTCTTTTTTACTAACGTGACATTGTCGTCTCGCCAGGGTGCTTCCTTGCTGGAGCGGGTGACCTAAGTTTTGATGCGCGAGGATACCTATGGGCTATTGTGAGCTGCATGCTTCAAACAGCGTATCTAATCCTCGTTGAACGATCAGGCTCACAAAAAGGTATGCATTGTGAGATTGAGTTAGTCCTACACGTGAAGTTGACATGCCTTGAATCTGCCATTCAAAGTCATTCCCAACATGAAGCACTTTATTTCAACCTTGGCTTTGCTTCCCCAGGTTTTACGACCAACGACCTGTTGGTTTACAATGGCGTCATGTCATTTCCAGTGCTCGCTGCCTTAACCCTAATCACGGGTGAAGCACAAAGATCCATCCCAAGACTGTTTGAGCTCTCATATGGCTCAGATAGCCTAGCGTTTGCCATTCTCTTTGTGGTGTCTCTGGGGGTTGGGGTCCTGCTGAACTACTCTCTCTTCTTCTGTACGATTTCCAATTCTGCACTCACCACCACAATCGTCGGAACTCTGCGAAGCGTCCTGGGCACGGTATGTACACCTCATGATGAGCTGTGGAAGGAGACGCAAACGTGTGTGTTTATTCACTGTCCTTCTCGGCACCGTATGTATCTGACCTGGTAGTCTGTTTCTTTTGCAGAGTATTGGATTCTTTGTGCTTGGTGGTGTAAAGGCCACTCCACTTATTGTAGCCGGTTCTTCAGTCAACACAGTGGGTGGAGTGTGGTACACCTTTGCCAAGTACAAGGCAAAGAATGCTCAACAGGCAGAGAGGGCTGAGCAGGTGAAGGCCCACTCAAGCCCAAGAATGTCAGAAGACAAAGTATGAGCAGAGCACCATGTCAAGTGCTATGACAGCCACATGGACTTGTAAGAATAGCGTGAAGCCAAACCAATTGTAACAATATGCGTACTCTGGGACTGCTTGGTGCAGCTCTGTGTAGATACTTGGCACGCAGACACAGCAGAGATAATGCTGATTACCTGTATTGGCCATAATGACACACAAGTCAAGGCCCATGACTGATTTGCTAATGAAATTGCTGATGTTAGTTGACATACGGTAGTAGGTGGTATACCACAGGAGTAGCATAGAAATTTGCTCCTCAATTTTTGAAGAAATGAATGCACTGTGATTTCAACATAATTTGGCTGAAAATTTCAGCTACCGTAACACAGGTGCATGAAACACACCAAGCTACTCAACATAAACTCCCCTTGCCCCTGTGCTCATCTCTCCTCCTCCTTGGGTTGAGCCATTTCATACTTGAGCAGCAACTCATCAATCTCCTTTGCCCCAAACACACGGTACCTGCACACGCTCACACACACAACTCAAACAAGCCACCGTCAGGACAAATACGAGATGATAGAAAACCATACCCCCTCCCTCTCATGGTTCAGCCGCATCTACCATTCTCTCACCTGACTTGTCCATCCTCCAGGCACACTTTAGCCAGTTCAATCTTCTCAGCACTCAGGCTCGTGCTGTCCATGGTCTTACTCAGCACCTTCAGCGCCAGCTGCACTGCCCCTTCCAGGTCCATCCCCGGGATCGCCTCCCCTCCTGGCCCCTTCTCTTCCTTGTATTCCTGCTTCAGCAGCGACTGTGCTGCGCCGTGATTGGCTCCTATGGCACACGCCCGCCACCCGCCGTAGTTCCCTGAGGGGTCTGAGTGATACAGCTGGAACTGATGGTGCTTGTCCCACCCTGGAAACAAGGGGAACGAACACAGAAGGACAGAGATACCAATTGGTATTCACAGAGTGAAGGGGGATGTTTCCTATGGCACACGCCCGCCACCCGCCGTAGTTGACACAAAGTCAGGGGGAATGGGTACTACGAGACATCTATGCTCCAACATCTGAAGTTCTTTCTTCAATTGCTGATTTCAACTGCCTTCCAACTCTTCGCCCTCAAACCTTACTATGAAGCAACTGCAGTGCACCTTATAGAGAAGCAGAAGCAACTGTACTGCACCTTGATACCGAAGCAATCACATACCCACACAAAAGAGACACTGAGTAAGAGGCGTACCTGCAAAGAGGAAGGAGACGCCGAAGGGACGCAGACCACCAAACTGCGTGTAGCCCTGCTTGGTGTCGCACAGAGACTGCACTAGCTGCTCCATGGGAATAGGTTCCTGCATGAGCCAGGGGGAGGGCAGAAGGGGGTCAAACGAGGGAGCAGGGAGGGAAAGGGAGCACAAGAGAATGAGAACTCAGAGGTAGCCCTGCTTGGTGTCACACAGAGACTGCACCAGCTGCTCCATGGGAATAGGTTCCTGCATAAGCTAGGAGGAGGGAAAAAGGGCGGGAAAGTGGAAGCAGAGGGAGAAAGGAATAAAAAAAGAGAGGATGATTCAGATGCAGAAGTGCTGAATGTCGCACAGGAGTTGCAACAGCCGCTTTACCTGAATGAGCTTCTACAGGAACCGGGAAGGGCGATTAGTGGAGGAGGAAGTGGTGGAGGGGGAACGAAGAGAACGAGAGTATGGTCGTTTGTGGGCCTACAAGGTAATCTTTTCACTCATACGCGCTACAGACGCACCTGATACGCGTACGTGTAACGCTGAGCAGCGAGGCGAGCCGAGTTGACGAGGATATTCGCATCGGCTGTGATCCCAGCAACAGCAGCGGCGACGTGGTCGTCGATGCGGTACATCTTCTCGTTCGTCTTGCTGCTCTCCAGCAGCTTCTCATTCAACGTGATGCGCTTCTCTGCTTCTGCGGATCCTGCATGATTTTGGTTGTTCCTAACCCTGCTTGGTAGGCCTTACGCTTGTACGCGCCACAGACGCACCTGATACGCGTACGTGTAGCGCTGGGCAGCGAGGCGAGCGGAATTCACAAGAATGTTCGCATCAGCAGTAATCCCAGCGACAGCAGCAGCCACGTGATCGTCGATTCGGTACATCTTCTCGTTCGTCTTGCTGCTCTCCAGCAGCTTCGACGTGATGCGCTTCTCCGCTGCCAGCACCACCCCGTCCGTGGCGAGAATGCCTATGGCGGATCCTGCGTGACTGATGGCCTCCATTGCATACTCCACCTGAGGGTATCAGATGTAGACGGAGAATGAGAGAGGGGGATTAAGGACGAGAGGGTGGATAGAGAAGGAGAAGTAGCGGTTGGGGAGGGGAAAAGAGGGAGAGGAAACGCGAGGAGGAGAGGGGGAGTGTGTGTGTTGCTGCTCTCCAGCAGCTTCGACGTGATGCGCTTCTCCGCTGCCAGCACCACGCCGTCCGTCGCGAGAATGCCTATGGCGGACCCCGCGTGGCTGATGGCCTCCATTGCGTACTCCACCTGGTGGGAAGCGGTGGGAAGCGGTGGGAAGGGGTGGAAAGGGGTGGGAAGGGGTTGAAAGGGGTGGGAAGGGTTGGGAAGGGGTGGGGGGAGCGGGGGGTGAAGAAGCATGAGAATGCGTGAGAGAAGCGGAGTGAGGACGAGAAGGTGGATGCAGGAGGGGAGGTAGGGAGTGGGAAAGGAAAAGAGGGAGAGGAAAGGCTGAGGGGGGTGGCAGGGGGGTGTCAGTGTTGCTGCCCTCGAGAAGCTTCGACGTGATGCGCTTCTCCGCTGCCAGCACCACGCCGTCTGTTGCGAGAGAAAAATCGACTCAACTTGACTCAACCGACTGAAACTCGACTAGAAAGAACCACTTAGACTCACGGACATCGCACCAGGAACAACCTCTGAGTCGGCCTAGCCATCGCACACCCTGATCGCACCTGGAACAGCCGGCCTTCTGGCGAAAACGTCGTCGTGCGGCTGTCATAGCGTCTCGACATGGCGGCAAAGCTACTGTACTGATGCGAGGACGGAAAGAAAAAAAACACGAAATCTACGACCCGGGCTTGGCAGAAGCGCTACGGTCCAAGTCTGATTTCCCTGGTTGGAATTTCGGCTCTGTTCTACCCGAGAATTACGACAGATGAACGAGTAAAGAGGCTACGGATAGATCTCCTATACAGGAGTAAGCGGATCCGTGGAAAAGCTATGGTTGAGAAATACAAATTTCTCAACGCGAGCCGAGGACCTCCTTGGACTGTGGTACTCGCTCGAAGAATGGAAACCAGAAAGGGATCCCAAAAGAAGCTCCGCCGGAATTTATACGCTTTATTCGCGGAGTCGACGCAACAACGGGGATCGAGAAGGTAGGAGCATTTTTTTCATAAAAATGGCGACATGAATCTGTGCCATCAGGATAGCACCATAGATGAAATGAGGGCCTCTCTGAGACGAGTAGAATACGGTAGCACTCTTTTATTCATATTGTTCTCCATATGTCCTCTATGTTTTGAGACACCTGAGTCATCCATAAAGCCTTTTGTAGATAGACGATTTTTTATAAATAAAACAAATGCAGACAATGCTACTCTTCCCAACCTCTTCTGGTACACCCATCCCTTAGTGCTAAAAAAAATGACTATAACTACAAGTGTTACGTTAAGATATTTTCTTGCCTTTTTCACAGATCGCCACCGCCCTCTCTTTGCATTAGTCCTTTCACTTGCACTCTCTTCACCTCCCCTTCATGAATCCTCGTCCAACTCCCCGCCCCTCCCACCGCCCGGGCAGCCTGAAGCTCCGCCAGCAATGCCGAAGCCCTATTCCCTTGCTTCTCCCCTCCCGCCATTCTCCTACTACCCACCCCCATGCCTTCCCCGAACTTCCGGTTTCCAAACCCACCATCTGCCATGATCGACCGAGGCTGGGCAAACCCTGCCGTTCCCGAGCCTAAGAACCCGCCGCCCCGGTAAGGGGATGCCATTCCTGCGCCGACCGTGCCGCCGCCCGGCATTCCTCGTCTCATTGACCCGTACTCTAAAGCTCTTCGCCGCCCGCTAATATTCCCCACATCCTCACCACCCATTCCCCACCCTGCACCCATCCCCATACCCATCCCGGCTCCCATAGAAGGAAAATCCACCATTTTCCTTCTCATGCTCAGATCCTCCGCCGCCCCTCTCGGCATGCTGCCAAAACCAACCGGCCGGTGCCGCCCACTCGTGTTCCCCACCTCCTCGCCGCCCATCCGCCCCAACCCCCCACCAAGCCTAGCCACAGCATCAAGAATACTCGGCTCATCTCCCCCAAAGGACTTCATATGGGCCATTCGGGCCCGCCTTTGCCTGCCTGGATTCCCAAACTCCCCCATTCCCATGCCTCTGCCCGTTGCCGCCCCATGCCCTGCCCACCCCACCCCCATGCTGTGAGATCCTACCGGACTCATCATCCCCCCATTCCCCATGAAACCCATATGCCCACTGGCGACACTCGCAATCGGACTCAGCCCACCGATCCCCTCCCCTGCCTCTCCCCTTCCCGCTCCCGCACCTCCCCCCCGCATACCGTCACTGAAGCTCAACCCACCAGTTAGACCCGCCACGTGAGGGTTCTGCCTGCTGCCTGGCAGCAACGCACTGTCGGTCCTCCTCCTACTCATAAACCCAGGTATGATGGGACTTGGCAGGCTGTTGGTGTGGAGCGTCGGGGTGCGCGTGGGGGAGGTGGGAGCGAGCTGCTCGAAAGAGAGGCTTCCTTTCATGCCTGAGATGGATCGAGGGAACTGCCTGGTCAGTGCGGTTAAAGTTGCCTCCCCTGCACTGGAGGAGTGAGTTATACCCTTGGTAGAGCCACTGACAGCGGTATCACCAGTGCCATCGCCACCAGCACCAGCAGCACCAGCACCAGCACCAGACCCAGAAGAATCACCAGCAGCAGCACCGCCAAAACCACCACGGTTGCTGCTCCCGCCGCCGCCACCCCAACCGCGCGAAGCAGCCGCAGCAGAAACATCAGCATCATCATCATCACCATCATCATCATCCTCAAATCGCCTCCTAACCCTACTCCACTGCCGCCCCCCCCTCACCAACCCCAACTCCGGCCGCCTCTCCTTCCCAGACCCCCGCAGCAGCATCAGCTGCTGCTGCTGCTGCATCTCCTCCTGCTCCCTTCTCATTTTCTCCAGAGACTCTTGCACCTGCAGCAGCACATACGCTGTCTCATCTGCGTTCTCTTCCAGCCGCTGCAGGGACCGTTTGATGTGAGACATCTCCCCGCTCTTGCCTTTCTTGGGTTTTTCTCCTAAAAGAGCTACTTCCACGTTCTCCCCGAATTGCCCCATGACTGACTCGGCTATGGTTTCTGGGTTCACTTGGGACGACTTGCTGGCCTTGGTGGGACTCATAGACGCCATCTGCAGGGGAGAGGGAGGAGAGGTGTAAGAGGGGTAGGGGGGATGAGTGGGTGCCTGGGAGCAATGGCACCTCCACGTTCTTCCCAAACTGCCCCATCACTGATTCTGCTACGGTGACCGGGTCCACTTGGGACGACTTGCTGGCTTTGTGGGACTCATAGACGCCATCTGAAAGGTGAGATGGGGGAAATGGGAGAGTAGAAGAGGGAGACGGGGAGGGGGAAGGGAGAAGGGAGAAGGGAGGAGGGAGGAGGTGTAGAGGGGAAGAGTGATGGCCGGGTTGACCTGATGGGACTTGCTGGCCTTGGTGGGACTTATAGAGGCCACTTGATGGGGGAGAGGAGGAGAGGGGAGGGCTCATAAGAGCATGGAACGGCATTCTTTGAAGTGTTCATCTTGTCAATGTCCACAAGCCAAGCCAACCCCAAGCAGCCCCGGTCAATCCCAGCAAACCCCTGTCAACCACAGTTTAGCACAGTCAACCGCACTCAACCGCACCCTCTTCGTCCACCACCCTCTTCGTCTGGTGGATGCACAGCACACTAGTCAACCGCACTCAACCGCACTCAACCCCAGCCAACCATACTCAACCGCACTCCACCGCACTCAACCCAAGCTCACCTTGCGCTCGTAGGTGCGGTTCATGAGCGTGTAAAGAGACATCATGTCCATTTTGTTGATGCCCACGTCCACCACCCTCTTCGTCTGGTGGATTCGCAGCATACCACTCAACCGCATTCCACCACATACCACCGCACTGAACCGCACTCCACTGCACTGAACCACATTCAGCCCAAGCTCACCTTGCGCTCATATGTGCGGTTCATGAGGGCACTGAGCGACATCATGTCCATCATTCTAACGCGTGTGTCCACCACCCTCTCCGTCTGGTGGATGCACAGCACACTAGTCAACCGCACTCAACCCCAGCCAACCATACTCAACCGCACTCCACCAAACTCAACCCAAGCTCACCTTGCGCTCGTAGGTGCGGGTCATGAGGGCACTGAGCGACATCATGTCCATCATTCTAACGCGCGTGTCCACCACCCTCTCCGTCTGGTGCATCTTCCTCCTTCTCTCGCGCTCCTCCCGAGACGTAAAGCACCCCTTGCGCAGCATCGTTGCCACCTCCGAGAGTGCCGACTTGCGCTGCTTCGCCAGTGCCTCCTCCTGTGAGGGAAGTGGAAAGGGGGGGTTGGAGAAGGGAGCGAAGGGGAAAGAATGTGTGGGGCATGGAATGGGCATGGGTGGGTCATGGTGGGTTGGGGTGGGGATTGAAGCACGGGGAGTGGTAGCCTTATTGTCTCGCGCTCCTGTGACATGAAGCACCCCTTGAGCAGCCTCCTGGCCACCTCTGAGAGTGCCGACTTGCGCTGCTTCGCCAGTGCCTCCTCCTGCAGTGAGTGAAAAGGGGAGGACGAAGGCAAGGGGAGGGGATGGGAGAGGGACAACGGGTGGGGTTCTACATTGTGGCATGGGGAGTGCCAGAATGAAGCACCCCTTGCACATCATCCCCCACCACCTCTGCCAGTGCCGACTTGCGCTGCTTCGCCAGTGCCTCCTCCTGTGAGGGAAGTGGAAGGGGGGGAGTGGAGAAGGGAAGAGGAAAGAATGTGTGGGGCATGGATTGGGTGCCGACTTGCGCTGCTTCGCCAGTGCCTCCTCCTGCAGAGAGGGTAAGCGAGGGCGGGGAGATGGGGAGGGCGGGGAGATGGGGCCATTGTCGGGGATAGCATAGCATTACATTGCAGGGGCATGGAAAGTGGCCTTCTCAGTGCCTCGCGCTACTGCTGTGACATGAAGCATCCCGTGCGCATCATCCCTCGCTAATACACAACCCCCGCTAAGACACAACCCCTCCTCTACCCCCCTCACCCCATCTCCACTTCCCACCCTCCCCACCCACACACACACGTCTGCCCCCCACTCACCTCCTCTCTGGTCTTCTCATAAGTCCCGAGGAACAGCAGGTGGTGTCTCAGCTTTCTCAAACTCCAATACGGCGTGCATATCCGCTGCCAGAGGTTCCGCAGCAGAATCCATATATCAATCGGCAGTGCCGTCTCCTCCTGAGCCGCCTCCTTCACATCCATGAACGCATCGACCACTATAGCAATCACCACATTCATCAGAATAAACACCATGATGACTATGAACGACAGCCAGAAGACAAACGCAGCCAACCGCTCCCAACCCTCCAGCATCGCGTAGTAATACGCGGTGGAGTTGTCTTGAATGAGCATGAAGAAGCAGGAGAGCATGGCGTTGGGGATGGTGCGGAACTGCTCGAGCGTTCGGCCGAAGACGAGGTAGCCGTAGAAGGAGAATCCGAGGAAGATGATTCCGAAGACGAGGAAGAAGTGCAGGATGGCTGGGAGGGCCGCTGCCATGGTGCGCGTGATGATGCCGATTCGGGGCTGGAAGTCCATCAGCTTGAGCAGGCGCTGCACCATCAGGAAGACGCTGCCAGGGGGGAGCAGGGGGAGAGGGAGCGGGAAGAAAGGGAGAGAGGAGAGGGGGGAGGGGGGAGGGGAGAGGGGAGGGCGGAGAGGGGAGAGAGAGGGGAGAGAGAGGTGAGAAGAGGATGGTGTGTGGGAGAAGACGAGGAAGAAGTGCAGGATGGCTGGCAGTGCTGCTGCCATGGTGCGCGTGATGATGCCGATACGGGGTTGGAAGTCCATCAGCTTCAGCAGGCGCTGCACCATGAGGAAGACACTGGAGTGGAGGAGCGGGGGGAGAGAGGGGCGGGGAGAGAGGGAAGTGGGGCGAGCGGGAGAGGGGCGAGGGGAGTGGGGAGAGGGGAGAGAGAGGGTGAGAAGTGGGGGGTGAATGGGAGACGACGAGGTAGGCGTAGAAGGAGAAGACGAGGAAGAAGTGCAGGATGGCTGACAGTGCTGCTGCCATGGTGCGCGTGATGATGCCGATTCGGGGTTGGAAGTCCATCAGTTTGAGAAGGCGCTGCACCATTAGGAAGACTCTGGAGTGGGGGAAGATAGGGGGGAGAGAGGGGCGGGGAGAGAGGGAAGTGGGGCGAGCGGGAGAGGGGAGAGGGGAGTGGGGAGAGGGGAGAGGGGAGAGGGGAGAGGGGAGAGGGGAGAGGGGAGAGGGGAGAGGGGAGAGGGGAGAGGGGAGAGGGGAGAGGGGAGAGGGGAGAGGGGAGAGAGAGGTGAGAAGAGGATGGTGTGTGGGAGAAGACGAGGTAGCCGTAGAAGGAGAAGCCAAGGAAGATGATTCCGAAGACGAGGAAGAAGTGCAGGATGGCTGGGTGGGAGCGCTGGTGCCATGGTGCGCGTGATGATGCCGATGCGCGGCTGGAAGTCTATCAGCTTCAGCAGACGCTGCACCATCAGGAACACGCTGCCAGGGGGGGGAGGGAGGGGGGAGAGAGGTGCGAACAGTGCAGTCGTACGTGGCAGAGGACAGGACAGTGGAGGCGTATGGGCGAGATTTAAGAGACACGTTCAAGCTGGGAGTCAAGGTGCGTTGAGGGAGGCATTTGTGCTGGGAGTGGAGTGAAGGTGCGATGACCTTTGAGTCGACTCAAAAGGTGGAGGCACTTATTTTTTAGACGACTCAAAAATAGGTCCATCAGCTTGAGTAGGCCGCAGGCACGGTGACATGTACGTGCATCACTTATTTTTTAGTCGACTCAAAAATAGGTCCATCAGCTTGAGTAGGCCGCAGGCACGGTGACATGTACGTGCATCACTTATTTTTTAGTCGACTCAAAAATAGGTCCATCAGCTTGAGTAGGCCGGAGGCACGGTGACATGTACGTGCATCACTTATTTTTTAGTCGACTCAAAAATAGGTCCATCAGCTTGAGTAGGCCGCAGGCACGGTGACATGTACGTGCATCACTTATTTTTTAGACGACTCAAAAATAGGTCCATCAGCTTGAGTAGGCCGCAGGCACGGTGACATGTACGTGCATCACTTATTTTTTAGACGACTCAAAAATAGGTCCATCAGCTTGAGTAGGCCGCAGGCACGGTGACATGTATGTGCATCACTTATTTTTTAGACGACTCAAAAATAGGTCCATCAGCTTGAGTAGGCCGCAGGCACGGTGACATGTACGTGCATCACTTATTTTTTAGACGACTCAAAAATAGGTCCATCAGCTTGAGTAGGCCGCAGGCACGGTGACATGTACGTGCATCACTTATTTTTTAGACGACTCAAAAATAGGTCCATCAGCTTGAGTAGGCCGCAGGCACGGTGACATGTACGTGCATCACTTATTTTTTAGACGACTCAAAAATAGGTCCATCAGCTTGAGTAGGCCGGAGGCAGGGTGACATGTACGTGCATCACCCTCACTAAGGTCCACAGCAACACATTCACTGCACAAACCTGCACTGCACCACCCCCACCTGCCTGCCTGTGGTTTTGGGGGTGACGACTTAATGGACTCACTTGATGCCTTGAATGGCGAAGTAGAAGGAGCGCAGCTGAATGATGTCATCCATGGTGCGATACACACACCTCCATCGCCCTCTCAAAGCCTGCCGCGCTGCACTCACCGCACAGAACCACACCGTACATCCCTCACCTGCCTTGAATGCAGTGACTCACTTGATTCCCTGGATTGCCAAGTAGAAGGAGCGCAGCTGAATGATGTCATCCATATTGCGATACACCTCCACTGCACCGCCCTCTCCAAGGCTCCTGAACGCCGCACGGCACTCACCGCACAGAACCGCACCGCACTGAACCTCCCTCAACTGCCTTGTCTTGAATGTGGCCTTGAATGTGGTGACTCACTTGATGCCTTGAATAGCAAAGTAGAAGGAGCGCAGCTGAATGATGTCATCCATGGTGCGATACACCTGCATCGCCCTCTCAAAGCCGCCGTTCGTCGTGTTGACTGCCCAGAACTGCGCTGTCGTGTCGTCGAGTGACGTGTACACGTTGTAGCGCACGCTGATGTCGGAAAGAGGCGAGAGCTGCTGTACCATGATGATCCTGAGAGGAGAGGAGGAGGAATGGGATGGGGAGAAGAAGAGAAGGAGGGACGGGGGAGAATGGTGGGAAAGAGGAGAGGGGAGGATGGGAGAGGAGAGGATAGGAGGAGATGGGGGATGACACAGCACCACACAGCACCATACAGAACCACGCAGCACCGCACAGCAGGCAGGCAATCACCAGACAATGATACCCCATGTCTGGATGGAGAGAGAGAGCAGGTCAATCCAGTTGCCAAACATTTTAAGAAGACTCAAATCTCAAGAATGCGGAGAACACACACAGCACCGCACAACATTGCACAGCTCTAGTGATCTTGTGACATAATTCTCAGTGATGAGTGGCGGTACGTCTGGAACACCGCTGCAAACTCGCTGAGAATTATGTCACAGCACCGCACAACATTGCACAGCTCTTGTGATGAGTGGCCGTACGTCTGGAACATCTGGTTGACCTCCTCCAGCAGGTTGTTGTATCCCATGCAGCACCGCACAAAACCACTCTCCACTCCACAAAGCACCGCACAGAACCGCACAGAACCGCACAAAATCGGACAGAACCGCACTGCAGGGCACAACAGACACTCACCAGACAACGATGCCCCAGACTTGGATGGAGAGCGAGAGCAGGTCGATCCAGTTGCCAAACTGGCGAAAATGGTGGAGGAAGCTCCCCGAGTGGCGGTACGTCTGGAACATCTCATTGACCTCCTCCAGCAGGTTGTAGGCCACACACACCACGTAGATGATCTCGAGCACCATCTGAGCGTAGGAGGACGCGGACGAGTACGGCTCCACAGGGACTGGCACCAGGCGGTATGAGTAGCCCATCTTGCCTCCTACGTCCACCTCTATGCGGATCTGATCAGCGAGAAGGGGAACGGGACAAGGAGGGGAAAGGAGGGGGCAGGGGGGTCTGAGTTTGGATTCCTAACTGTGGAATCTCGTTGACCTCCTCCAGCAGGTTGTAGGCCACACACACCACGTAGATGATCTCGAGCACCATCTGAGCGTAGGAGGAGGCTGACGAGTACGGCTCCACTGGGATCGGAACCAGACGGTATGAGTAGCCCATCTTGCCCCCCACGTCCACCTCTATGCGGATCTGGGAGAGAAAGAGGAGAAGGAGAGGGAAAAGGGCGAATATGGGTTGAAGCGTCTTAGGCCGAATTCCAATAAAGATACTGGGCAAACGAAGGAATCCACATAGAAGGAACCGTCTAGAAACGATTTGACGCACCTTAGAGAGCACAAACATGTTGACATCCGCGTTATAAGTGATGAGGGCGAACTCGATAGACTTGGTGAGGTTGCGTTTTGAGGCGCCTCAAGAGCCAACCAGCGTGAAGAGGACAAACCCGTTAGGTTCAACCATTGTGACGCACCTTGGAGAGCACAAACATGTTGACATCCGCGTTATAAGTGATGAGCGCAAACTAGATGGACTTGGTGAGGTTGACTCTGGAGGCACCTCAAAAGCCAAGCCAACCAACGTGACGCACCTTGGAGGGCACAAACCAGCTTGGTTCAACCAAGGTGACGCACACACACACGCACCTTAGAGAGCACGAACATGTTGACATCCGCGTTATAAGTGATGAGGGCGAACTCAATGGACTTGGTGAGGTTGTCGAAGAAGAATCCATCCACGAGGTACTGCAGGCGCTTGGTGGCCGCCACCCGGTGCAGATTGATGTCGAATACGAGTAGATAGGACTCCAGGCCGTCCTGGGGAAGGGGATGAACGGGATGAAGGAGATGATACGGATGGAAGGGTGGGAGGAGGGAGCGAGGGAGGGAGAGTGAGGAGCAAGGGGAGCGGAGGGCGCCATTTGGTGCAGATTGATGTCGAATAGGAGCTGATAGGCCTGGGGGAGCTGATAGGCCTGGGGGAGCTGATAGGCCTGGGGGAGCTGATAGGCCTGGGGGAGCTGATAGGCCTGGGGGAGCTGATAGGCCTGGGGAGCTGATAGGCCTGGGGGAGCTGATAGGCCTGGGGGAGCTGATAGGCCTGGGGGAGCTGATAGGCCTGGGGGAGCTGATAGGCCTGGGGGAGCTGATAGGCCTGGGGGAGCTGATAGGCCTGGGGGAGCTGATAGGCCTGGGGGAGCTGATAGGCCTGGGGGAGCTGATAGGCCTGGGGGAGCTGATAGGCCTGGGGGAGCTGATAGGCCTGGGGGAGCTGATAGGCCTGGGGGAGCTGATAGGCCTGTGGGAGCTGATAGGCCTGGGGGAGCTGATAGGCCTGGGGGAGCTGATAGGCCTGTGGGAGGGGGGGAGGAACGGACAGAAGAAGGGAGGGAGGGTATTGACGGGATGAGGGGGCGTAGCGTAGGCACATCAGCAGCAGCATGTGCCAAAAGGCTCGCCCCAATTCTAGGCCCAACACTGACTCACCATGGGGGGAACGAAGCCATAAGGCAGCCCTTCGTCGTTGAAGAGAGGAGCAGAGCTGAGGGTGGAGTTCTCAAGGCCCGTCTGGTTGGCGGCAGTCACAATGGGGTCGTAGAGGTCGGAGGTGGAGAGGAAGCGCGGGTTGATGCCGAAGGAGGTCAGGCTGGTGGCGTTCGTCAGACAGTGCGGCCAGAGGTTTACAAACCTGTTAGTTGAGGGGGGGAGGGGAGAGGAAGAGGGGTCAACAGATGGAAACAGAGCGGTGTAGTGTGGTACAGTGCGGCACAGGAAGCCACGAGGAGGTCGGAGGTGGAGGAAGTGTGGGTTGACGCCGAAGGAGTTCAGGCTGGTGGCATTCGTCAGGCAGTGCGGCCAGATGCTCGCGAACCTGCAGTTGGGGAGTGAGGAATAGGAATAGGGCTAACATGCAGGCAAGGAAAGGTGCAACGTGGTATAGTGCGGTACAGAAAGCACAGGTGATGCCTAAGGACGTGAGACTAGTGGCGTTCAGGCCGTGCGGCCAGATGCTCGCGAACCTACAGGGGTCCAGAGGGGTTGAGGCAGAGAACAGAGCGGTACAATGCGAACCGAGTGGTTACAGAGCTCTGCTCACAGAGTTGAACGGAAATCAATCACCCGCTTTCAATTTCTCACTCACCCTAACTCACTTCTTCACCCAACTTTTCATTCGTAATAAGAGTTTTCAAAAACCGGCTTCACCCAGCTCTTCACCCTTTTCTCACTTGCTTGTATTGAGGTGGTTTTTGAGGCGCCTAAAAAATCACCTCAATACACGCGGATTTCTTCACCCTTTTTGAGAAATCTCGGAAAACCAGCTTCGCCCAGCTCTTCACCCACGCTCACTTCTCACACACACCCATCCACCTTTTCACAACCCCTGAGGCACACTCACTTCTTGGAAGGGCATTCGCGGGAACCCCAGCGGGTCTGCAGCACGTAGAGACCCACTAGCAGCCTGCATCGGGGAGAATTTTAAGTGTTAGCGAAGGGGTGAGAAGGGGTGAGAAGGGTTGAGAGGGGGTGAGAAGGGTTGAGAAGGGGTGAGCGAATGTGAGAGTGGGTGGGCATGGTGGGAGTGGAAACCTTGAAGGAGCCCCAGCGGGTCTGCAGCACATAGAGGCCCACTCACAGCCTGCATCGGGAAAAGGAATGAGGGCCCTAGCGGCGGTTTCACACATCTCCTCTGATGTCCCCTACAACCCACCGTTTCCCCTCCTTTGTCCCTTGCACGCACCTGTTCCGCTCGGTCACGTGCCGGTGCAGCGGCTTCTCATAAAGCTCTGAAAACTGCGTGTTGCTCGCAAGCGCGTCCGGCCCGAACGACCTTAGCTGGAACGGGAACAGCAGGTTCGTGCCGACAGCATCGGTGGGGCAACACGAGCCTGCCTCCGACCTGGTCTGCCCCGCAGGGCACGGACACTCCCCCCCCACTCCCCCACCGCTTCCAGCTTCTCTCTGGGCCTTCCCCACCCCCACGCCCCTGGACATAACTTCTCAACCCACCTGTTCCGCTCGGTCACGTGCCGGTGCAGCGGCTTCTCATACAGCTCCGAGAACTGCGTGTTGCTCGCATGCGCGTCCGGGCCGAACGACCTTAGCTGGAACGGAAACAGCAGGTTCGTGCCGACAGCATCGGTGGGGCAACACGAGCCTGCCTCCGACCTGGTCTGCCCCGCCGGGCACGGACACTCCCCCCCCACTCCCCCACCGCTTCCAGCCAGAGTAGCGCACTCGCAGTCCCCACCGTCGAAGGCGCAGTGGTGGTTGTTGCAGAGGGGGTCGCAGCGGCCGTCGGCTAGATTGCCGAACGAGCAGCCGGGGTAGCAGGAGGAGGTGAGTGGAGAGATTGGTGGGGTTGTGGTGTTGTTGGTGGTGTTGGTGTTGGCATCAAAGAATGGGTCGAGGAGAAAAGCTGGGGGGGGGGGGGGAGGAACAGGGGCAGGGGAGGAAGTAAGGTGAGAGAAGAGAAGTGGGGTTCCATGGAAGGTTGGTTGTGGCGTTGGTGGTGTTGGTGTTGGTGTTGGCATCGAAGAACGGGTCGAGGAGAAAAGCTGGGAGATAGGGGCAGGGGGGGGAAGGACAGAGGGGCTAGTAAAACCTCTCGCCAGGGCAGTTGTGTCAGTACGCACATGGTACTCGCTACAAACAAGTCTTATTATAACACATCATAACAGAAGTTTGTATAAGCAAGTGGTATTTTTTATCTGCAAAAGGTACTTTATATCAACAACACATCCACAGGTCACTCACACCAACAGCTGCATACTCACTAGAGTCATCCTCGCTATCATCCACAACATGTATTGTCGCAGTCATATCGGCCCCAAACCGCCCGCACTCCACTTTGTAGGAGCCAGTTTGAGTGAAGACAGCCGTGTAGGTGAATACAGGAGCATCTGAGGGGCCATCTGTTGCCGAAGGAGAGAGAGAGAGAGGGGCGGGAGCAAAGAGTGAGAGGGAGCGTTACACTCCCTCTCATGCAGAGAGTGAGAGAGAGTGATGCTTCTCGGCATGCATCAGTTGCACTCCACTTGTAGGAGCCGGTTTGGGTGAAGTGAAGACAGCTGTGTAGGTGAATGCGGGGGTGTCTGAGGGTCCATCTGTTAAACAATGGGGGAGTGGAGGGAGAGGCGAAGGCGGAGAGAGAGTTAGGGGGGGCCCTCGGCACAAACTGCCTGTAGGAGCTGGTTTGAGTGAAGGCAGTAGTGTAAGTGCGTGGTTCAAGTGAAGTCATCCTGCAACTCACAGGGGGTGCACGTGCAAGCAACTCGCAGAGAGCACAAGGGTGAGGCGGGCCGTCTAGCAGCATGGTGCCGACGTTGTCTGGCGCGCAGCGGCTGTGCCTTGAAGTTAACCCTTGACTCACACAGTGGGGGTGCAAGCAGCTTACATAGGGCACACGGGTGTGGCGGGCCATCTAGCGGCATGGTGCCCACGTTGTCTGGCGCGCAGCGGCTGTGCCTTGACACATGGCTCAAGTTAACCCTTGACTCACACAGTGGGGGTGCAAGCAGCTTACATAGGGCACACGGGTGTGGCGGGCCATCTAGCGGCATGGTGCCCACGTTGTCTGGCGCGCAGCGGCTGTGCCTTGATAGCACCATGCGGTTGGCGCCATAGCCCTTGAAAAGACTGTCGCCCGCACTGCTGCCCAGCCCACGCACTGGAGGAGGGATAAGGAAGGGGTGTGCAGGGAAGGTAATTGGGCAACTGGCCATACGTGTGTTACCATCGACATTGGAGTAGTAAAAAAAAAACACCCATTGGCAAAGCATTAGAGGCGAGGCTTATATGCGAGGCTATTAGGGGGCATATAAGGGGGGTACTGGAGGGACGCACGCACCCTTCACGGAGTGAGGATAGTCATCGGCCCACACAAACTGCACACTGTCACCTCTCCCCACTTTCACATTGAAATCCGCCCCCACTGCCCACTCCAGCAAGCGCCCATCTGCATTGGGCAAGGGGAACAAAAGGGAAGGGAAAGGGGGGGAGATTGGCGATTCGGAAAACTACTCCTAAACCACCACAACTACCACCACCACCTTCACCGTGTTTCAGAATGAGATGACAAAGTGGAAAAGAGGGTAGGAGCACAACAAGCAGCAGGGCAACACTCACGGCCCCCCATACTGGCGTCCACAAGGCCGATGGCAGCGATGTAGAGGTGCGAGGAGAGGCGAGACACCGTTGCCCCATCCACCACCACTACTAAAGGTGATGACAAAGTGGAAAGAGAGCAATACTCACGCAGACTGCAGCCTTCTATGCTGCCGTCCACAAGCCCGATACCAGCGACGTAGAGGTGCGACGAGAGGCGAGACAACGTTGCCCCATCCACCACCACCACCGACTCCACAGCATCCAGGAAGGTTCCCACGAACCGCGCAAACTGATCCCGGGACATGCGCACACGCCTGGAGAGCAGAGCAGAGGCACTGGCGGTAGAAGCGGTTTCATTAGAAGGAGCCCCGTTAGAAGCAGCTGCCTTAGAAGCGGTTCCGTTGGTGTTGGTATTATTGGACGCAGGAGGAGGAGGAGGAGGGAAGCCGTGAAAGGCGAAGTGGGCAGCAGCAGCAGCCATGGATCCATCGACAGATGTGAAAGGGCCGAGCACACAGCCATTCCCTCCCACTGCTGCCACGTCAAATGAACCACCTCCGCTCAAACTGCTGCTGCTGGTCAAGCTGCTGCCGAGCAGGGTAGCATCCACAGCTGCTCCGTTTGTCAAAACCGTATCCGTAATCTCCAGCCTTCCACCAAAACCACCACCAGCACCAGCACCATCATAAACAGCACCAGAAGCACCGCCAGCAGCAGCACCAGCAGCAGCACCCTGCCCACCCTGCGCTTCCCCAGGACTGTGCAGCAGCGCACAGAAGAAGGCAGAAACACGGGCCCGGGTGGCAGCATCGAGAGACACGGCGGAGAAGACATTGGCGAGGCAGGCATCCCCCACCCAGGAGAAGAGCCCTCGGCTCACGGCCACTCGCAGGTTGAACCATCGCTGCCGCTCCGTGGGGCCTAGAGCCGCCCACGCGTCCGTTACTGCCTGTGCGTCTGTGACTGCCTGTGCGTCTGTGACTGCCTGTGCGTCTGTGACTGCCTGTGCGACTGTGACTGCCTGTGCGTCTGTGACTGCCTGTGCGTCTGTGACTGCCTGTGCGTCTGTGACTGCCTGTGCGCCTGTGACTGCCTGTGCGTCTGTGACTGCCTGTGCGTCTGTGACTGCCTGTGCGCCTGTCACTGCCTGTGCGTCTGTCACTGCCTGTGCGCCTGTCACTGCCTGCGTGTTCGCCTGTGAAACTGCTTGTGCGTCTGTGACCGCCTGTGTGTTCGCCTGTGCGTCTGCCTGCTGCTGTTGGCCTTGAAACACCTGTTGCTGCTGCTCCTGCTGCTGGGGTGGTGGTTGCAGCTGTTGCGGTTGGGTTAGACTACTGCCTGAGTACGAGTCAAAGCTGGCAGAATTAGCAGTGAGGGTGGTAGGAAACAAGGCGTCAGCAGTGGCTGCTGCTGCTGTCTGTGCAAGTGGGCTGGGCGCTGGCACTGCTGGTGTGGGGTGAGGTGAGGGTCGGGATGAGTGACAATGGGGAGCATATGGAGGGAGATGAGAGCAAGGAAGGGACAAGATTAGGACGAGGGAGAAAGGAGATAGGGAGAGGTGGAGATCGAGGTTCGGGAGTGAGACTGAGAGACAAGACAATCGGCAATGCATGTGAGAAGCGAAGATCCAATGCAACTTGCAGCGCGATTAAGATGGCTGATTGGATGGCTGTTAGGACGGCTAATTGGATGCCTGATAATTTGCCTGATTTGCACTGTACAAGCACTTTTGGTGATCCAGTCAGTGGGAATACACACAGTGTGTGCAGCAAGTTCAGGTGGAAACTGATGCAACAGAGTCAGGTGGAAACTGAGGTGGGAACTGACCAGCATTCAAGGCTCTATGGCTCAAAAATCCCCCGATTCTTCCCATGCTCTCCATGCTGCCTCCCATGCTCCGCGCACTCTCAACGCTCTCCATGCTCTCCGTGTGTCCATAGCTGACTGCTCTGCTACTGCTGTGGGTCCACACGCTAAAGCCCCCACGTGCTTCTTCCTCTTCTTTCCCATCTTCCCCTTCTTCCTCTGCCACCTCTCCTCCCTCTGCCTCCTCCTTCTCCTTGACTGCTGCTAACCCCACCTCGTCTGCTTCTTCTGCTGCCACCCCACCCTCAACATCTTCTGATGCTGTCCCTCCCTCCGCGTGTTCCTCTCTTGTCTTTGCCCCTTGTCTCATCCGCTCCTCCGGAACATCTCGCATCACATGCCACAGTGGGGGGTGGTGGCGAGGAAGCGGCACATCTCCATCCAATTCCCCGGAAAAGCCCAGCATTCGACCCGCTGTCTGCTTTCTCGCAACAGAACGCATCCTCCTCCTCCTCTGTGATTGCTCCTGTACTTTCACCTGTGCCTCTCCCTGAGCATGCTTCAAAGCTCTCTCCTGTGCGTTCACCTGTAGTTTCCCCTGGTCTTCCAAGGAAGCGCGCATGCTCGTCTGTCGCAGCACATGCCCCTGTGCTTGCCTCTGCTGCAGTGCCGGTGTCTGGGGTGGTTGCCCTCGGACCAGCTGCAGCAACCGGCGCTGGTGGGATGTCACCTGAAGAGGGGGGGCATGGATGGGTGATCCATCGAAAAGGGGCCGGTGGGGGAGTGTGGGGATGAGAAGGTTGAGTTGACGCTGCAGCAGGAACAGAAAGCACACGTGTGTATGGATTGACGCCAGGCGACTGATACTCGAAGAGGTTACTAGACACAGCATGACTGGCAGGCAGTTGCTAGTATTACTCACATGTGCACTGCTGCTGCTGCTGCTGCTGCTGCTGCTGCTGCTGCTGCTGTTGCTGCTGCTGCTGGGGGTGGAGCTGCTGCTGCTGCTGGCGTTTCTTCTCAAAGCCATGACAAATGTGGCGTTCACTGTGTGGAGAGGAGAGAGAGAAGTGGGAGAGGGAAGCAGGGAAGACGGAAAGAAGGGATGGCTTTTGAGTCAACTGAGAGTCAGAAGCTCTGTTGGAAAATCATATACTCGCCTGGACTATGCATTGTTGCGTTCAGATTCCTGTCATTGCTCTCCGTTGCACGTACATGCGCAAAATCCTTGGGCGGAATTTCGCCGTTCCTCGGGACACGGGTGGTTGCTTTGCCACTCTACTTCTTGGATGACTTGAAACATTCAAAATGAGTACAGAAATGAATTACATGCAAACATGCTCTTACCTGAGCAGTTGATGTTCTTCAGGACAGTGGTGGTGGTCCGTAGCATCTGAGGAGGGAGGGGGAGAGAGCACAGGAGCACATGGGGGTGCACAAATGAGTTAAAGCCAGTGCGTCCCCACCAGAGCAGTTGATGTTCTTCAGGATGGTGGTGGTGGTCCGTAGCATCTGAGGAAGGAGGGAGAGAGAGAAGAGAGGCAGGAGCAAAGGTGGGCATATGGGGATTCAGAGATGAGCATATAGGATGCTGGAGGTGAATAAATGAGCATCCAAGCATATGGTCATGTGTGCGGTACATGGTAAGTAAAGGCACGTGAGCATGTCGGGAAGTCTTTTGAGGCGCCTCAAAAGTCGTACATGGTAAAGGCACGTGAGCAGGTCTGGAAGTTCTTTTCAACAGGGATGCCAGATGGCACGAGAGTCAGACAAGCTCTGCTGCTTCAAGACTACTGCTTGTTGCATCAACCTGCTCACCTCAACACAAGTCCAGTTGCTGTACTGTGTGATGGTAAAGGGTACCATGTTGCACACCACTGCACCATACAGCACCGCACTACACCTCACTGCACAGGAAACCCCTCACCTCAAGACAAGTCCAGTTGCTGTACTGTGTGATTGTAAAGGGCGCCATGTTGCACACAACCCCGCAGTCCACAAACACGCCCGACGCCTCCTCCTCCCCCACGTTCTCACACGCGCCCAGCACACACGCCGCCATCGCAGCACACGTCTCCCTACACCCATACAGCCTCTTAGCCAGCACCGCCGATCGGCCATTCGCCACCGTTGATTTACTCGTCGCACACCCACCCCATGTTACCACTACGTCTTTACTGGCTCCCAGGTCTGTTAGCTGTGCTAGTGTTGTATCCACCACCCCTGCCTCTCCCCCGTTGCCTGACACGCTCCAGGCCGTTCCCCAGCCTGTTGCCGAGCCTCGGGCGCTGGTTCGGCCGCCCCTGCCGTTGGTTCGTTGCAGAGTGGCGTTGCCACTGAGTGCGCCGACCACTTGCACTATCCCCCGAACGCCGCCGCCCGGCGCGTCGAGCTTGACCTGCCAGTCGCCATCCGGAATGAAGAGGTCTAACGCGACCTCTGATTGAAGCTCCGAAAACACCTGAGGCTCCTCGAACCTGAGGAAGTAGAAAAACGGAGGGAGGGAGGGAGGGAGGGAGGGAGGGAGGGAGGGAGGGAGGGAGGGAGGGAGGGAGGGAGGGAGGGAGGGATCAGCTTGATGTGTGCGCATGCCAGGCGACCATTTCGAATGACGAGGTCCAATGCCACCTCTGATTGGAGCTCTGTGAGCACCTGAGGCTCTTCGAACCTGAAGGCACCGGGGAGAGGGGGGAGGGGGAAGAGGAAGGAGGGGAGGGGGAGGGAGGGAGGGAGCAGCTTGACGAGTGCGCATGCCAGGCGATCCGCCCGAATGAGGAGGTCTAACACCAGCACAGGTTAGAGCGACTTACCAGCACAGGTTAGAGCGACTTACCAGCACAGGTTAGAGCGACTTACCAGCACAGGTTAGAGCGACTTACCAGCACAGGTTAGAGCGACTTACCAGCACAGGTTAGAGCGACTTACCAGCACAGGTTAGAGCGACTTACCAGCACAGGTTAGAGCGACTTACCAGCACAGGTTAGAGCGACTTACCAGCACAGGTTAGAGCGACTTACCAGCACAGGTTAGAGCGACTTACCAGCACAGGTTAGAGCGACTTACCAGCACAGGTTAGAGCGACTTACCAGCACAGGTTAGAGCGACTTACCAGCACAGGTTAGAGCGACTTACCAGCACAGGTTAGAGCGACTTACCAGCACAGGTTAGAGCGACTTACCAGCACAGGTTAGAGCGACTTACCAGCACAGGTTAGAGCGACTTACCAGCACAGGTTAGAGCGACTTACCAGCACAGGTTAGAGCGACTTACCAGCACAGGTTAGAGCGACTTACCAGCACAGGTTAGAGCGACTTACCAGCACAGGTTAGAGCGACTTACCAGCACAGGTTAGAGCGACTTACCAGCACAGGTTAGAGCGACTTACCAGCACAGGTTAGAGCGACTTACCAGCACAGGTTAGAGCGACTTACCAGCACAGGTTAGAGCGACTTACCAGCACAGGTTAGAGCGACTTACCAGCACAGGTTAGAGCGACTTACCAGCACAGGTTAGAGCGACTTACCAGCACAGGTTAGAGCGACTTACCAGCACAGGTTGCTGGGCTGAACCATACACAGGTTCCACGAGCTGCCCTGCTTGTCAGACTGCGAGGAGAAGGAGGAGTGGATGTGAACCACCACGTGGGTCACGTTCTCAAACACCCCGCAGTCCGCCTCACACCCGAACCGCCCGAATGCTGCATACTCCAAGGGATTGTCGCACACACTGTTTCCGCAGTGCGGCCCCTCCCACACCACCTGGCGGCGAGGCGAGGCAGTAGAGAAAGGGAGAGAGAGGAGTGGTGAGACAAAGCACCACCACGTGGGTCACGTTCTCACACACCCCGCAGTCTGCTTCACACCCGAACCGCCCGAATGCTGCATACTCCTAGGGATTGTCACACACGCTGTTGCCACAATGTGGCCCCTCCCACACCACCTGCAGTGCAGGCAGCGAACAGTAGAGCACAGCAGACAGACAGGATAGAGTGAGAGGGAGACGAGATGCCTCAGTACTCCTAGGGATTGTCGCACACGCTGTTGCCACAATGTGGCCCCTCCCACACCACCTGGTGATGAGCAGCGGCAGCAGAGGCAGTGGAGGCAGTAGAGAAAGGGAGAGAGGGAGGAGTGGTTAGAGGTGTCAAAGACAAAGCACCACCACGTTGAAAGAAACTGAGAGCACACGTGGGTCACGTTCTCAAACACCCCGCAGTCTGCTTCGCTCCCGAACCACCCGAATGCTGCATGTTCCAAGGGATTGTCACACACACTGTCGCCACAGTGCGGCCCCGCACCACCTGACGACGAGCAACAGAGAAAAAGAGGAAGGAGTGGTGAGGTGATTGCACAGAACATCACAGAATCACAGAGATCCCTCCTTGTTGACAAGGTAATGAGTCGTGCTTTCAGTGACTCAAAACACGGAATCTCACAGAATCACATATATCCCTCCTTGCTGACAAGGTACCCATGCTGCAGCTGCAAGGAGTGGGATTGGATTTACTGTTCCGCACGCAACATGGGTACCTTTCAAGTTTCGACCACTCCCATGTCACCTGGGTTTGGTGGTGGTTACTCCGCCTACTACTGTGCTCTGCAGCTTCAGTCTTTTGCTGTACCGATAGAAATCACTCACCTATACGTTACATGCTACTCACCTGTGTTGCTACTCACCTGTATTATGCTGTCGTTAACCCAATGATATATTTCGTCTGGTCCACTCATGGCATTGAGCCCGCTGCCTGATGCCCCCTGTATGATCACTCTCCCGTATTACTACCCTACTCACCTGTACTGCTTCTCACTGCTCGCCAATATCACGGCACACCTGTATTATGCTGTCGTTAACCCACTGATACATTTCGTCTGGTCCACTCATGGCGTTGAGCCCGCTGCCTGATGCCCCCTGGGTGGATGGAGTGGAGAAAAGAGGAGAGGGGGGGGAAAGGGAGGGAGGAGTTGTGGGGGTTGAAGGGGGGTTGTAAGAAGAGGTGCAGCAAAAAAAGAAGAATCGACACTTCCTGCTTCTCCTGCTTTTCCTGCTTCTCTTGTTTCCTGTGTGAATCTTGTGTGACCCTGTCGTGGAGAGTTGACCTCACTGCTCCATGCTCCCTGAGGGGATTCATAGGGAAAAAAAAGGGGGAGGATGTAGTAGAGTGCGAGCATTCACACTACTACCACCACACCACACACAGAGCCACCATTCACTGCACCACCACCAAACCTTCCCTCACCGAAGGAAGCAGTATGTTGTGCGCTGTGGACACCTCGAACCCATCCGTGGAGTCGGCTTGCATGTAGAGCACCACCAGGTAGAGTACTACCCGTTAGTTTCGTCACAGCACCAACCAGCCAAGCAGCCTTTTGCGTACCGAAGGGAGCAGTATGTTGTGCGCGGTGGACACCTCAAAGCCATCCGTGGAGTCTGCTTGCATGTAGAGCACCACCAGGTAGAGCACGATGAAGCAGAGGAACGACACCAGGTTCTTGTAGTCGTCCAGCCGCTTATCCGCTGCCTTCACTTTGAAATAGATGTCTGGGGGGGCAGGAAAGGAGCGGAGAGGGGAAAAAAGTCGATATGAGAACTTAGAGTGCAAGTGCCAAGGAGAACGGAAACGCTCAGATCTCGCAAAGTACAGGGAATTGCTTCAACTTTCGTTTCCCTTCTGCCCCACCGACCACTCACCTTCCAGCATCACAGCATCAATTTGCTCTTCGTCCTCCTCCTCATCACTCGCCCAATGCTCCCACAGTGCCATAACAGGTATCACACATACTCATCATGTGTCATTCACGAATCAATCACCCACACCCCCCTAACCCACCACTCACCTTCCAGCATCACAGCGTCAATCTGCTCCTCGTCCTCCTCCTCATCGCTCGCCCAATCCTCCCAATGCACAGCAGCAGCCTGCCTCACCGGCTGCTTGCTCTCTCCCAGCCCCCCAGTGGTTTTTGAGAATTCTCAAAAGACACTCTCTCCCAGCCCCCCAGTGCCGTATCAGCTACCATACTCATCACTTATCCCTCAAGAATCACTCACCCACACACCCACCACTCACCTTCCAGCATCACAGCATCAATCTGCTCTTCATCCTCCTCCTCATCGCTTGCCCAATCCTCCCCATGCACAGCAGGCTGTCTCACCGGCCGGTTGCTCCCCCCCCCAGCTCCACTGCTCCTGCCAGTGGCGGTTTGCTGGCCCAGTGCGGCAGTGCAGACACTTTTGAGGCGACTCAACAGTCACATCACATCATCCATCATCCATCCTCGAAACCCCCCCATTTCCCCGTTCCGCCCCCCCTTCCCACTCACCTTCCAGCATCACAGCATCGATCTGCTCCTCATCCTCCTCCTCATCGCTCGCCCAATCCTCCCAATGCACAGCAGCAGCCTGCCTCACCGGCCGGTTGCTCCCCCCTCCAGCACCACTACTCCTGCCCGTGGTGTTGTGTTGCCCCGTGGCGGTGGTGGCATCATGGTCATCCACAGTGGGGACCTTGAAGGTGCCGTCAGGGAGGAGGATGTGCGTGTGCTTGCCCATCGGCACCTCCTGTGAGGGGTCGTAGTCCGTGGGAGGGGGAGCGCCGCCTTTCCAAGGTGTTGCTGATGAGAGGGGGGTCGCGCCAGACCTGGACGGAAGGTTTGGGAGGTTTAGGAGGTTGGGGAGGGAGGGAGAAAGGGAGAAAGGCTAGCTTAGCTAGTGGTGGGTGTGTGTTTTGGTGGAGCTGGGTGTGCTGACCCGTGGCGGTGGTGGCATCATGGTCCTCCACAGTGGGGACCTTGAAGGTGCCGTCAGGGAGGAGGATGTGTGTGTGCTTGCCCATCGGCACCTCCTGAGAGGGGTCGTAGTCCGTTGGAGGGGGGGGTGCGCCCTTCGTGAGGGTCCTGGACGGAGGTTCAAGAGGTTTGGGGAGGGGAGTGGGGGAAGGAGGATGTGCGTGTGCTTGCCCATCGGCACCTCCTGCGACGGGTCGTACTCTCTGGACGGCGGTGCATCTTTTGCCGGTGTCGCTGACGAGAGGGGGATCGCGCGAGGCACGGCCAGACCTGGACGGGAGGTTCGGGAGGATGTGCGTGTGCTTGCCCATCCGGACGTCCCGCGACGGCTCATACTCTTTGGAAAGACAAGGAGGGGAGGAGGGGAGGGGAGGACGGCTCCTTCCCACTCTTTTTGGCCATAATAACGTCGTTTCTCCCCTTCTCTCTACTCTTCGCAAACTCAAACCTTCTTTAAAGTCCATTTTGAAATCGTTGGCCTGAATCTCGTAAAAAAAAAAAAAAAAAAAAAAATGGTGCTTTCCCCACCAATTTGTGGTCTCTTCACCTTTTAGACACATTAGCAGAGTCGGGCCCAACTTTACTCCCCGTGCCCACAGTACTGCCCTCCTTCTGACTCCCCCCCCAGATCGCCGCAGCAGCAGACACCGACAGAACCTTCGCTGCAGCTGCCACCACCGCCGCGTCTCGCTCCTTATCCTTATTCGAACCCCCTTTTCCAGACCGCTCTGCTCCGCTAGCCGTTGCGCTTCGTTCCGTCCCCCGCTCCGTTCCCCTATCGGTTCCCCTTTCCGTTCCCCTTCCCGTGCCAGAAACGCCGCTCCTATGAGTCATCTCCAACCCTGACACGCCGCTTCGCTCCGTCACCCTCTCCGTGCCTCGCTCCGCCCCTAACGGCGGCGTTAGCGGCCGCGACCGAGTCACTCCGGGCGGAACCAGCTCCCCGCTCCGCGGCACCAGCGGCTCCTGTACCTCCGGCTCCCCCCGCGACCCTCCGCCTCCGCGCTTGAACGACACGCGCGCGCGGACGGTTTCCCGCCACAACGTGTTTTTCTCCTCCACGCTCATCCGCCTCCTGTCGCCCTGCCCCCCCGCGTGACCCCCGCCGTGACCTCCGCCGTGATTGCCGGCGCGGGCTCCGCCGTGAGCGCCGTCTTCGTCGTGCGCCGTGAGCGGCTCGAAGCTGAGGCTGGATCGACGGCTACGATTGCCGACCTCCGACGCGTCACCATCGTCGCCGAACAGGAAACTCTCAAGATCACCGTCCGTGACGCGGTTGCTCCCGCCGGCGCCTCCGCGACGAATCACAGCCGCTGATACTACTTCCGCCATTCTAGCGCCACAAGATTCCAAACTAATTGTTCCGGACCCACCTATTTCTTCACCACAGCAACCGAGGTGGTAACTACGAATATTAGTCAGCTACAGCAGTTGGTTGCACTATCAAACGCTGCACCTGATCCGCTCGCTCCGCGCTTCACGCGTGCGGAGCCAGAGCCAGCTATACTGAAATTTGTTTCATTAACTCAAAAATCGTGCCGAGCGCGGATCAGAGTCGCCTGCTGTGTACTGAGCCTGAGATCCTTTTTGCGTCGAATTATCAAGTAACGGAATTTAAACCAATTTAGATTGGTTCCTCCTCCTCCGAGAGTCTAGTCTTGAGACGTCTCCACCCGGTTTTTTTCTAGCACGCAAGGCAATTGAGGTGAAATTTTTCCTTGATTTCTTGAAATCGTCAATGTAATCGAGATGGCGAACAACCGGCTGGAGCAGCTTCGTTCGTGTCCTTCTGTGCTCAAGCCCCTACCCTGACCTTTCCTCAAACAATGTGTCGCGTTGTCGCACTAACGTCGCCAACTAGGAACATTGCATTACACCTTGTTGGTCCTAGTCCCGTTCGCTGACGCTCGCTCGCGGAGTGCTTCCTGTGGATGGATGCTTTGCTAGCTCGGCTCTGTGGTCCTCATTTCTGCTGGCTTGCTGTCCATGTGGTGGACTACAAAAATCGAGTCTGGAGTTCTGAGTGTCCGAACCGAAGTTACGCGTACTCTCCCGTTCCGAACTGACCCAAGGCCGCGTCTGAAGTGTGTTGGATTTTGGAGTTGTCATTGCAGGGGAGTTCGGTACACCCTGTTTCTCAACGTTCGGATAATCGGGAGCCCCGGCTACAGTGCGAACGTGTGCTTGGATTTTGCGGGCTGGTGCTTGCAACCGAACCCCAGCTAGGTGGCGGGCAAATGCAGTCCAGGAGAACGATACACAACGGTTTATGAAAGAAACAATGCTATCGCGTACGGTTGATTGCGGCAAATTGTGCTTATATGCTATGCTCTGGGACCGTTTTGGACGCGTTGATGTCAGAATAAGCGGCATGTCATTCAGCGAATGTCAGTGTGGCACGAAACAGGGTGTAGTACCCTTGGAGCTGAACTTGAGAGGTCATCCGAGCGACATTTGTCTGGTGCTGATGGACGCCATGCACCAGGCCTACCGAACATGGGTGCAGCGACATTGCCTTGTGTCAAGGGCCTACCGAACAGATTGATCGAGGGTTGGGGGTGCGAGTCGGAAGAAAAGGACGGCGTGGATCTTCGAGAGGCTTGACGAGCTGCCCAGCTGACATCCGTCGCTTACCCGGCTTGTCTGGTTTGCGACGTCGTGCTGCAATTCGGGTAGTCGTCGGTCAGTTCGGTGCTGCTGGTTCATTAACGGTTCCGTCTCTGAATTTTCCCGCCATGTCAGAAAAGGATGGAAAACGTCAGGACCAGCCATCCAAGCAGATGAGGCTGGTGCGTATTTACTGCCACTCGATCAAATTCGAGGATGCACTCGGATTTTTCTCATCCACACGCACAACACTTTTGCCCGACTGAAAGCAGGTTGCTGGTAAGAGTCGGAATTCTGCACCGAGAGACGGGCAAAATCTTCTTGCAGGTTCGATGTGGTCAAAAAACATTTCGAGGGTTTCCTAGACTTTCGAGATTGAGAGGGATGGGACTCGGTACACAATAACCAAAGTATCCTCTGGAAGATTCGGTGATTGGAAAAGCCATAGGCCTTGGCTGCAACCTGCATGTCCCAGAATCCACTTGTGCTGTCGCAGCTCGCGTCTTGTCTCCGTTTGTGCTAGCCTGTCTTATACTCCACCGTTTGTGAACTATACAAAACAATGTATCCGTTGGTGTCATACCTAATTTCAGTTCCATACTGAATTACCCTACATCGCATACAATCTTGACTTGTGGGATGACCTCGCTGTTGGAAATACAAAGATAAGGAAAAACATATGCTGTTGGATTTTACTGTATTCCTCTTTATAAGACTCCCAGCCCTACAATAATTGTACAATTATTGTAGGAGCTGCATTATTGGAGTCTAGAGGTTTGGGGGTAGAATTATTGGTACTCCTTTATTGGAGTTGCCATTATTGGAGGTACAATTATTGGTGTGGATGGATTGATGTGGGCAGGGTAGCTGATACCATAAATACCCTGCTGTGTGCTTTCATTATCAATCCATTGTTCTGAATCCTTTCAGTTGCAAGTTTCTCTTGCTACCTATTCTACAATCAAGGCTTCCGCTACGACGGCACTATGCCTTTCTAGCATGGTATCAGAGCTACTCTAGGGGGCATGCTGCCAAAATTTGGTCAAAAACCTGTTACACTTCACATTGGACAGACACATTAGCAAGAGGCAACGATTGGATTGAAGGCATGGCACGGTTCGACGGTGAAGTCGATGCTGGATACGAGGCGTTTGAAGAAGCAATCTTGTTTCAACATGAACACCTGGAGAACATGATTGCAAGGGCACCACCGGCACTTCAAGCGTCATTAAGGGCGAAGTTCAACATGCCAATCCAGTCAAGGGCATCACACACTCCATCAAGCACTCCGCGTACTAACCAAACTCACGCTTCAAATGTGCATGCAGGAGTTGAGGGTGAAGGGGAAGGGAGCATACCTCAAAGAGGAGAGTCATCCCAAGAGGGGGATGCATCCGTCCAAGGAGAGGAGAGCTCGAACCCCGCACCTCAATCAACCATGCAAAGGGAAGCACGGGGGAGGAATGATGAGTATGGGAGTGGGCTGGATGAAATGGAGCATGGTGATGGGATTGGCGTGGGAAGGCACATGAGAGGGCAGATTGGTGAAAGGAGTGGCAGAATGAGTCATGTGGGCGTGGAAGGTGTGGGATTTGAATCCTACACTATTGGTGCTCCCCCACTTCGACGGTTGGCCACTAATACTCATCCCATTGGAGTTTCCCCAATAACCAGGCCTCACATCTTTGGCGGAAGTGCCATACCTCCTCGTGCACCGCGGCCTCAAATGGGAGCTGTACCTGCACGGAGCATGGGGCGCATGGGGCACGGGATGGAGTCAAGTGGTGTTATGCGAAGTGACCAAGTGGAAGTGGTGGAACGTGAAGGCACACAACGCACGGTACAACTACCTCGACCGTCTATCGTGCCAACTCTCTTCGACCCATCTCCCCGCGAGTACACGGAAGAAGACAAGGACCGGTTGTCACGCAAAATGGTGGGAGCAACGGTGGACAAAGCGTTCACCACTACTCCGTTCGACGGCACTAACTTCCGGGAGTGGGCTCTTCGGTTTCGTATGAACGCACGCGTGACAAACCTGTGCGAGTTCTTTGTCACTCTTCAATACCCCGTTTCCATGGCAAATGGCGACGTGCGAGATGCAATGGAGCGGCTGGAAGTTCTACAAGCGGACTACTCACAGCGTGCGACGCTCGCGTTTTGGGTGTTATTGCACAGCGTGAGCGCAACAATTCAGCTGCAGCTGGACGTGTTTCAAGAATCCTACATCCCGGCGTTTGAGGCATGGGAATACCTGATGGAGACGCATCAGGCGAAGGATTCGGTGGCAAAGGCGTCTCTCCAGAAACAATTGGACAGCCTGAAAATGGGGAATCAGGAGAGAGTGGAGGAGTATATCAACCGGGCAACGGCAATTCGGGACAAGCTCGCATTGGCGGGGAAACTGGTGGATGAAGACACATTCACCCTGAATCTGATTACCGGACTGCCACCACATTGGGAGGAGCTGAGGCACTCAGCAATGCTTCATGACATCACGGACAGTTACACATTGCAACGGATGATGATACAAGAGCAGCGGTACCAAGATTTTATCACCAAAGTCAACCGTGATCGGCATCCTCCACGCATGGCTGGGCAAGCACGTGGAGACTCACCGGGAAAGGAGTGCACCGGGAACTACGATGACATGAATATGGAAAAGTCAAACGAAGGGCTGCAAATGAAGAACACAAATGGCAACAATGGAGGAGGACGCTCACCTCTCTTGTGTTGGTACTGCAAGCAATCTGGTCACCCGTTTTCCAAGTGTCCCAAAGCACCTCCAGGTTGGGCACCATAAGGATGGGAACGAGGGAGAACAAATCAACGCACCGGGAACAGCCGTTCGACCTCACCTCGAAAGAGTGGCAGTCCCAAGCGTGGCGACAACAATGAGTCAAAAGGGCAAGGGGCAGCCGGGGAAGGCAAACAACATACTGTTACATGCATTGCAACGGTTCGGTCATCACGAGCGACCTCACCAAGCGCGGGAGGTTCTCTATGGTTGCTGGACAGCGGATGCAGCCAACACATGACTTCGGAGAAACAATGGTTTGAAGGTTTGAAAGAGCTGGACAAACCAGTACAAGTGGAGCTTGCTGATGGGAGCACTCTGAACAGCTCAATGGTGGGCACAATCAGAGTACGGGCACCCTATGGGACAACGGTGCGCTACACCGACGTCCTCTACGTAACCGGTTTGAAGAACAATCTCCTCTCCTTCTGTCAGCTGCTGAAAAGGGGAGCTCGGATCAACACAAATGCTGATGGCGACACCGAGATCTCCATGCCTGATGGAGATGAAGGTGTACGAATTGGACTTGGCAAGGACGTGCATGGAGTGCTCATGGTGGAATATGAGCCAGCACTTGCCTTTGCCCATGAAGCTGGACATACTCACATGGATGCATCATCGAATGCGCATGGTCATGGCGGATTGAATGGTCAATCGGCTCCTGAATCCGTCACTTACCGTATTGCGCACATGGCTCGTGTCGTGAGGGACATGGCACGTGCCGTTGACAAGGACACGCACTCACCGCGCACCTTTGATGACACGTTGCTGGACGTTGGGTCCTTGCTGAAGTGTCAGCAGCATGATGATGAAGTCTCACCCCACGTTGCGGCGTGGACTTCAGGGGGAGAAGGGCAACGGTTCGCGGTGGGTAAAGGAGACTCCACGGAACAATACTTACACGGAGCTGATGAAGACAATGCAACCA